GAGTTGCCTGAAAGGACGTTCATGTGTGAGCCAGAGCTCCATCTGGCCTCCAGACATATGCCTGTCTGTCTGTGCGTGCCTCCTATCTCTCACTCTAAGTAGTGAAGACTTGAAGACTTCCAACAGAAACACAAAGGAAGCTAAACTAATGGTTAATTGCCAACTCCTCACATTGGAAGACGTGCATCTGTTCACTCGGATATTGTGTGTTACTTAAGCAATAAGGCACGAGTGGGTGTGGTATATGGCCAATATACCACGGCTAAGGGCTGTTCTCGCAACGCGGAGTGCCTTGATACAGCCCTTAGCCATGGTATATTGGCCATATACCACAAACCCCTGAGGTGCCTTATAAACTGCTATAATTGCTATTATAAACTGATTACCAACGTAATTAGAGCAATAAAAATACATGTTGTCATACCCGTTGTATACGGTCTGATATACCACAGCTGTCAGCCAATCTGCATTCAGGGCTCGAACCACCCAGTTTATAATGTTGCTTTTACCCCTCTAACTTCAGCTCTGCCCTAAGCCCCCCCCCGGGCCCCCCAGAACTGGATACCCCTCTGACTTTGAATGACTCTCTTTCATAAGATTCAGTACATTGTCAATAGACCCATAAACAGTCCCAAAAAAGGCACGCAGAGATGGGTTGCCATAGAAACCAGTAGTTGGAAGTTAGCCTTTGTCTCAGGGTTGGTTCCATGCGAGAGGGCGGCAGGCGGGCAGGTGGAGGAGCAGTGACGCTAGGTAGCTGCTCTCTCTAGCTCAATGAACAGACCAGTTTATGAGGTCATCTTAGAGTACTGGAGGTAGATTCGCCTCAGCCTGGACTCCTGAGCTAACAACCTTTACAGGACTCAGATATCATTTAGAGGACTCAGGCAGGAGTAGTAAGTATATTTCTTTAACATGTCACTCACTCAGCCTCTCTCCTGATCCTCATTTGCTCTGTGTCTCCATGTGTCCTGACTGAGTCTGCTCGCTCTTACCTCTGACTGGCTCACATCAACCTGTACATCAAACCACCTCCTCCTCTCTTCAAACTAGTTCATTCTTTCCTTGACTGTCCCTAGTCCTGTCCCTGCATATGACAGGCACACAGTCATAAGCCCCCCAGGATTGTGTGTGCAGAGAGAGAATGGGGAAGGCTGCTGTCTCCCAGTGGTCATAAACAAGACTATTAGGAACCAATTTAAAGTAATGGCGCTCTAATGAAAACAAGATTGCGCCTGCCCCTCGAATTCCACACTTCCACAATGTGTGCTTTCTCAACACTAGGGGAGGCTGAGCAGTACACAGTGACATGTTAATGAAGACAGAATGCCACTTTTTGGTCGGAGGAAGATACTGTTCCCTCTCCAGGAATGTCTGGGTTGGGTTGGTGGGGGGGCAGGCAGATGCCCCCCCTGTGGCTGTACGGTCGGCCGCCTACTTGTCCCAACCCCCTGCTGAGTCTCTAGGGGTCTCCATATGGGAGCTCTAGCCCAGGGGGGAGAGACAGGAGGCCTGGCTGGAAATAAATACTTGTTGTCTGGAAGAAGAACCATTCTACTGTCATCCTCAATGCTCCAGACTGTGGATTTCTTGGGCCAAGGCCTGCCTATGGACTGTGTGTCCAATGGCCATCTGTGACCGCTCCGAACAGTAGGCTTACTCTTACTGGGTAGAGTAGCTGTGTGGATGAGCAGCAGACATTCTCTTCATAATCTATTACAGTACATATAAATCATGCCAGATGGCAGGTTCATAACCTATGATTGTTTTTCTAGTGCTGCTGTCGTCACTGGCAGCTAGGATATGGTTAAGGTTAGTCTAGTCCACAGTCGGTGACCTAAGCTTACCCTGTCTGTCTCGCTGTGTGCCTGTGTGCGTTGTGTATTTGTGTTATCTGTTTGCTCGCTGGTTGTTGACATTTGGCGGTGCTGTGGTGTGAACAGTGTTGTAATTCTGTAATGATCCGATGTTGTGGAACTTAAGTAAACACTATTACAGCCAAATCCCCTTAGCACTCCACTTCTGTCTAATTGCATTATCTCTGATGAAGGTAGGATTACACACACACCATCTGATGCCTGGTAATATTGCCTTACACACAACACAGCCTGTTACTACTGTTATTGCACGCACACACACACATTAGAGAGCGGCTGAGATTCCCTTATAGGTGTGCATTGTGGATCAAAATAATGTTGTGTAGTCAGCTTCTCATGCATGATATGGAAGTGTGTGTACTTGTTGTTCAGCCATAGTCCACACTCTCAGTGGGTCTGTGACGTGTACTGTCTAATCATGTGCTTAAATCTATAACCAGGACAGATGTGATTAGTTGTGGCCTGTAGTCAGATTCTCATTAGAGGTGCTCTCTCTGCTCTGTCTGACACTGAGTTATACCGCTGAATGATGACTTCCATTTAAACGTTTCTTTCAGAGCAGCTGTTAATGTGGTCTGGAGAGGGAGGGAGGGAGGGAGGGAGGGAGAAAGCTGTAATTAAAGCAGTATCTATACTGAACAAAAAAATATAAACGCAACAATTTCAACGATTTTACTGAGTTACAGTTCATCTGGATAAGAGCGTCTGCTAAATGACTAAAATGTAAATGTATAAGGAAATCAGTCAATTGAAATGAATTAGGCCCTAATCTATGGATTTCACATGACTGGGCATAGGCCCACCCACTGGGGAGCCAGGCACAGCCAATCAGAATGAGTTCTTTGCCACAAAAGGGCTTTATTACAGACAGAAATACTCCTCAGTTTCATCAGCTGTCTGGGTGGCTGGTCTCAACCTATCCCGCAGGTGAAGAAGCCGGATATGGAGGTCCTGGGCTGATGTGGTTATACGTGGTCTGCGGTTGTGAGGCCTGCGGTTGTGAGGCCGGTTGGACGTACCGCCAAATTCTCTAAAACTACGTTGGAGCTGGCTTATGGTAGAGAAATGAACATTCAATTCTCTGGCAACAGCTCTGGTGGACATTCCTGTAGTCAGCATGCCAATTGCACGCTCCCTCAACACTTCAGACATTTGTGGCATTGTGTTGTGACAATACTGCACATTTTAGAGTGGCCTTTTATTGTCCCCAGCACAAGGTGCACCTGTGTCATGATCATGCTGTTAAATCAGCTTCTTAATATGCCAGACCTGTCAGGAGGATAGATGATCTTGGCAAAGAGAAATGCTGACTAACAGGAATGTAAACAAATTTGTGCACAACATTTGACAGAGATATGTTTTTTGTGTGTATGGAACATTTCTGGGATTTTTTATTTCAGCTCATGAAACATAGGATCAACACTTTACATGTTGCATTTATATTTTTGTTCAGTATATTATAGATCTCCATCTCATTGCTGGGAAGGGAGGTGATCTGGGCCCCAGCCACCTCACCTCAACACAACACAGTGGTGGGACATGACAAGGCCTTATCTGTGGGAGTGGAGAGGCTGAGCTGCGGCAGTCTGTTCTGTCTGCCTCGCTCTCTGGGTGGGGGTTAAAAGCCATAAAAACACAGTGGAACAGTGACTCTCATTCTGAAGAGAGACTAGCTGGATTGTACCATTTGTGTGGGGTTGGATGGAGGATACACTCTCTTTTTTATAAACAAGCAGGCACTGGCAGAGACTGGTACATTGAGAAACCCAGTAGTGCTGAGCGATTAGTGCTTATTTATTTTTTACATGAAATGCACTATGTATTATGTGGGTTGAATGCTGTAACACAGAATAAAACAATTAATAAAAGTCCCATGATGGTAGTGACTGCCCATTACTGCTTATCACTTATTAACCATCATTTATTCACATTACTTTAATAAAATATTTCAGTTGTGTGTATTACATTTATTTTATTTGATGACTTTATTATTTCATTCCAAGTCATCATCTCATCTCTATAGAGCTGCTGCCTATTCTGTCTGACATAATCACTATTTTAGTAGGTCTTAAAAGTAAATAAGGCATACTTTTATGACTGCTGAATACCAACTATCAATCACATGTATTTTCAGGTAGAGATACATTGTGTAGCAACTGCTCTCTATCGGTCATGCATTCTTCTCTCTTTTACATAGCAGGTGTTAAAGAAACACAATGGATTATGGTCATTGTAGTTAATTACCACGTTTCTGTGCTAAACTATTTAGAATATTGGCCTGTTGGAAACTACAACTGGGGGGTGGGGGAGCTGACGGCGAGGTGTTTGGACTGGACTGAAGCCTGGATTAAACTCCTTTTATGTTGGTCCAGTTCAGACACATCTGCATAGTTTCCATGGTTGCAAACCGGAAACAACACCCACCCCCTTCCTCCCTTCCTTTTCCATCTCATTCATACAGACCAACTCTTCCATTCAGAAGCCCACTCCCTCTCTTCAACCCCCTCCTATTCGACACCCCCACCCATCTCTCTTTCCCAACTCTCTCTCTCCCTCTGTTAAGCTGGGTGAAACAGGGAAATGTAAATCTGCTGACAGCCCCTCTTGTGTGAGGCCAGAAGAGGGGTATCGAGTCGACAGAGGGAGAGAGTCTGTGTTGTGGGAAACACTACTGGACTGCAGAGCAATGGGTTTGTGAGGAGATTAATGTCAATTCACTGACTGTAGTTGTGGTTCTGTTGTGTAGTGCTGTGTCTAGAGCACGCATTTGGACCATTGTTGAACAAACAGCCATGTCATGAAAATGAGGCTAATGAATTGTACAGTCTAATTGTACAAATGTTCATATCAGTCCTGCTTTTGGCTCTCCTCCCCCTCTTCTGCAGTACCTGATTTGTAATTTTTTAAACAAACGGTTTTTAAAGTTAATGTGCATTTACATCACAAAACTCAGTGCCAGCACAGGACCAGGCTGTCTCAAAGGTCTGCTTTCCCCTCAGAAGCCCAGTTCTAGAGCAGCAGCAGTGTGCTGGCTGGGGGGCTGCCTGCCCCGCTCTATTCTCTCTCCCCTGGGCCCCCTCCCACCTCACAGCCCTGGCCATCCTGTGCAGCGTGTGATTGGCTATGAGGCCCAGTCAGGGCGGGGCCAAGTCCAGGCAGGGCAATGTGATTGTGTGCAGCGGTTGATGTCACCCTGGCTCAGCTTCACAGCTCTGTGTTCTCCTCTCAGCCGCTAAACGCTTCGTTAGCCTTTAACAAGACTGCAGCGCCTGCTGCCTCCAAACACTTCCATCTCTCTCAAATCCAATTTTATTTGTCACATACACGTGTTTAGCAGATGTTATTGCGGGTGTAGCGAAATGCTTGTGCTTCAAGCTCTGACAGTGCAGTAATATCTAACAAGTAATATCTAACAATTTCACAACATATATATATATATATATATATATATATATATATATATATATATATATATATATATATCCAATACACACAAATCTAAGTAAGGAATGGAATTTACGAATATATACATATATGTACAAGCAATGACAGAGCGGCATGGACTAAGATACAGTAGAATATTACCGTATATACATATGAGTAGTGTAAGATATGTAAACATTATTAAAGTGACTAGTGTTCCATTTCTTAAAGTGGCCAGTGATTTCAATAGGTAGCAGCAGCCTCTCTAATGTGCTAGTGATGGCTATTTAACAGTCTGATGGCCTTGCGATAGAAGCTGTTTTTCATTCTCTCAGTCCCAGCCTTCTGGATGATAGCGGGGTGAACAGGCAGTGGCTCGGGTGGTAGTTGTCCTTGATTATCTTTTTGGTCTTCCTGTGACATCGGGTGCTGTAGGTGTCCTGGAGGGCGGATAGGTTTCCCCCGGTAATGCGTTCGGCAGACCGCACCACCCTCTGGAGAGCCCTGCGGTTGCGGGCGGTGCAGTTGCCGTACCAGGCGGTGATACAGCCCGACAGGATGCTCTCAATGGTGCATCTGTAAAAATTTGTGAGGGTTTTAGGTGACCTCTCTTGTCCGCTTTCTAGCTTTCTCTCTCCTCCTGTGCTGTTTCTCTGAGCTCTCTCCCTCTGTCCCAGACCCTCTCTTTCCCTATTTCTCTTTACCTCTGACTGTATCTTTATCTCTTTCTCTCCCTGATATCTAGCTTATTTCCTCTGTCAGTGCTCAGATTCAGACACTGTTGGTAGTATTTGTGATTCTGAGCACTTCTAAAGGCCTCTAACAGAGTAGAGGGAGGGATGTGAGGGGGTAGAGGCTTTTTGGATAGGTGCCCTCCTCTTGGACAGCCATCTTGAATGGGGCTCATTGAACCTCCCTGTCACCCCTGAATGGTCCTTTCAGGCCTCCAAACTAGCAAGTCGAGACCACCTAACCTTCCTGGGGGAAAGAACTGGGCCAGGTCCAGGGCATTTAGACTTCTGTATTACACACATACACAGACAGAGAGACATACAGTTGAAGTTGGAAGTTTACATACACCTTAGCCAAATACATTTAAACTCAGTTTTTCACAATTCCTGACATTTAATCCTAGTAAAAATTCCCTGTCTTAGGTAAGTTAGGATCACCACTTTATTTTAAGAATGTGAAATGTCAGAATAATAGTAGAGAATGATTTATTTCAGCTTTTATTTATTTCATCACATTCCCAGTGGGTCAGAAGTTTACATACACTCAATTAGTATTTGGTAGCATTGCCTTTAAATTGTTTACTTTGGGTCAAACATTTCGAGAAGCCTTCCACAAGGCTTTGCGTTATCTTGGCCAGGTCGCAGTTGTAAATGAGAACTTGTTCTCAACTGGCTTACCTGGTTAAATAAAGGTGAAATAAAAATAAAATAAACAAGCTTTCCACAATAAATTGGGTGAATTTTGGCCCATTGCGCCTGACAGAGCTGGTGTAACTGAGTCAGGTTTGTAGGCCTCCTTGCTCGCACACTCTTTTTCAGTTCTGCCCACACCATTTTCTATAGGATTGAGGTCAGGGCTTTGTGATGGCCACTCCAATACCTTGACTTTGTTGTCCTTAAGCCATTTTGCCACAACTTTGGAAGTATGCTTGGGGTCATTGTCCATTTGGAAGATCCATTTGCGACCAAGCTTTAACTTCCTGACTGATGTCTTGAGATGTTGCTTCAATATTTCCACATAATCTTCCTTCCTCATGATGACATCTATTTTGTGAAGTGCACCAGTCCCTCCTGCAGCAAAGCACCCCCACAGCATGATGCTGCCACCCCCGTGCTTCACGGTTGGGATGGTGTTCTTCGGCTTGCAAGCCGTCCCCTTTTTCCTCCAAACATAATGATGGTCATTATGGCCAAACAGTTCTATTTTTGTTTCATCAGACCAGAGGACATTTCTCCAAAAAGTATGATCTTTGTCCCCATGTGCAGTTGCAAACCGTAGTCTGTCTTTTTTATGGCGGTTTTGGAGCAGTGGCTTCTTCCTTGCTGAGCGGGCTTTCAGGTTATGTCGATATAAGACTTGTTTTACTGTGGATATAGATACTTTTGTACCTGTTTCCTCCAGCTTCTTCACAAGGTCCTTTGCTGTTGTTCTGGGATTGATTTGCGCTTTTTGCACCAAAGTACGTTCATCTCTAGGAGACAGAACGCGTCTCCTTCCTGAGCGGTATGACGGCTGAGTGGTCCCATGGTGTTTATACTTGCATACTATTGTTTGTATAGATGAACGTGGTACCTTCAGGCGTTTGGAAATTGCTCCCAAGGATGAACCAGACTTGTGGAGGTCTACCATTTTTTTCCTGCGGTCTTGGCTGATTTCTTTTGATTTTCCCATGATGTCAAGCAAATGGCACTGAGTTTGAAGGTAGGCCTTGAAATACATCCACAGGTACACCTCCAATTGACTCAAATGATGTCAATTAGCCTATCAGAAGCTTCTAAAGCCATGACATAATTTTCTGGAATTTTCCAAGCTGTTTAAAGGCACAGTCAACTTAGTGTATGTAAACTTCTGACCCACTGGAATTGTGATACAGTGAATTATAAGTAAAATAATCTGTCTGTAAACAATTGTAGGAAAAATTACTTGTGTCATGCACAAACTAGATGTCCTAACCGACTTGCCGAAACTATAGTTTGTTAACAATACATTTGTGGAGTGCTTTTATGTGCAAATATTGATACAATAACCATCATATCGAAGTAAAATTGGAGTCAGGATGACATGTTGTGTGGTCCTCCCACTACGACTCTGGGAAAGTATGCCGTTTATAAGGCTACAGATGAAATAAGTTATGATGAACTTCACAGAGTGGTGAAGTGCAAGGTGATAAGCTTGATGCTCCTTTCCAATAAATATCGAGGGTCGTATTCTGGTGACTTGATGATTAATGCTTGGCTGCCGTTTGACAAATAAAACATCTTGTTCTTTTACATTTACTTCATTTAGCAGACACTCTTATCCAGAGCGACTTACAAATTGGTGCATTCAACTTATGATAGCCAGTGTGTCTCCGGAAGGTGGTCAGTGACTCCGCTGTCCTGGCGTCGTGGGGGAGCTTGTTCCACCATTGGGGTGCCAGAGCAGCGCAAAGCTTTGACTGGGCTGAGCGGGAACTGTGCTTCCGTAGAGGTAGGGGAGCTAGCAGGCCAGAGGTGGATGAACGTAGTGCCCTCGTTTGGGTGTAGGGTCTGATCAGAGCCTGAAGGTAAGGAGGTGCCGTTCCCTTCACAGCTCCGTAGGCAAGCACAATGGTCTTGTAGCAGATGCGAGCCTCAACTGGAAGCCAGTGGAGTGTGCAGAGGAGCTGGGTGACATGAGAGAACTTGGGAAGGTTGAACACCAGACAGGCTGCAGCATTCTGGATAAGTTGTAGGGGTGGGGCACAGGCAGGGAGCCCAGCCAACAGCAAGTTGCAGTAATCCAGACGGGAGATGACAAGTGCCTGGATTAGAACCTGTGCCACTTTCTGTGTGAGGTAGGGTCGTACTCTGCGAATGTCATGAACCTGCAGGATCGTGTTGTCCAGGGTCACGCCAAGGTTCTTTGCACTCTGGGAGGAGGACACAATGGAGTTGTCAACCGTGATGGCGAGATCATGGAGCGGGCAGTCCTTCCCCGGGAGGAAGAGCAGCTCCATCTTGCCGAGGTTCAGCTTGAGGTGGTGATCCGACATCCACACTGATATGTCTGCTAGACATGCAGAGATGCGATTCGCCACCTGGTTATCAGAAGTGGGAAAGGATCAAATTAATTGTGTGTTGGCTGCGTAGCAATGATAGGATAGACCATGTGAGGATATGACAGAGCCAAGTGACTTGGTGTATAGAAAGAATAGGAGAGGGCCTAGAACTGAGCCTTGGGGGACACCAGTGGTGAGAGAACGTGGTGCGGAGACAGATTCTCGCCACGCCACCTGGTAGGAGCGACCTGTCAGGTAGGTCGCAATCCAAGAGTGAGCAGCGCCAGAGATGCCCAACTCGGGGAGAAGGAGGATCTGATGGTTCACAGTATCAAAGGCAGCGGATAGGTCTAGAAGGATAAGAGCAGAGGAAAGAGAGTTAGCTTTAGCAGTGCAGAGAGCCTCCGTGACACAGAGAAGAGCAGTCTCAGTTGAATGACCAGTGTTGAAACCTGACTGGTTTGGATCAAGAAGGTCATTCTGAGAGAGATAGCAGGAGAGTTGGCTAGAGACGGCACGCTCAAGAGTTTTGGAGAGAAAAGAAAGAAGGGATACTGGTCTGTAGTTGTTGACATCGGAGGGATCGAGTGTAGGTTTTTTGAGGAGGGGTGCAACTCTCACTCTCTTGAAGACTGAAGGGACATGGCCAGCGGTCAAGGATGAGTTGATGAGCGAGGTGAGGTAAGGGAGAAGGTATCCAGAAATGGTGTGGAGAAGAGAGGAGGGAATAGGGTCAAGCGGGCAGGTTGTTGGGCTGCCGGCCGTCACAAGTCGCAAGATTTCATCTGGAGAGAGAGAGGGGAGAAAGAAGTCAAAGCATAAGGTAGGGCAGTGTGAGCAGGACCAGCGGTGTCATTTGACTTAATAAATTAGGATCGGATGTCGTCAACCTTCTTTTCAAAATGGTTGACGAAGTCATCCACAGAGAGGGAGGGGGAGGAGGAGGAGGATTCAGCAGGGAGGAGAAGGTGGCAAAGAGCTTCCTAGGGTTAGAGGCAGAGGCTTGAAATTTAGTGGTAGAAAGTGGCTTTAGCAGCAGAAATAGAGGAAGAGAATGTAGAGAGGAGGTAGTGAAAAGATGACAGGTCCGCAGGGAGTCTAGTTTTCCTCCATTTCCGCTCGGCTGCCCGGAGCCCTCTTCTGTGAGCTTGCAATGAGTCGTCAAGCCACGGAGCAGGAGGGGAGGACCGAACAGGCTGGGAGGATAGGGGACATAGAGAGTCAAAAGATGCAGAAAGGGAGGAGAGGAGGGTTGAGGAGGCAGAATCAGGAGATCGGAGGGAGAAGGATTTAGCAGAGGGAAGAGATGATAGGATGGAAGAGGAGAGCGTAGCGGGAAAGAGAGAGCGAAGGTTGCGACGGCACATTACCATCTGAGTAGAAGCAGAGTGAGTAGTGTTGGAGGAGAGAAAAGGATACAAAGTAGTGGTCGGAGACTTGGAGGGGAGTTGCAGTGAGATTAGTAGAAGAACAGCATCTAGTAAAGATGAGGTCAAGCGTATTGCTTGCCTTGTGAGTAGGGGGGGATGGTGAGAGGGTGAGGTCAAAAGAGGAAAGGAGTGGAAAGAAGGAGGCAGAGAGAAATGAGTCAAAGGCAGATGTAGGGAGGTTAAAGTCACCCAGAACTGTGAGGGGTGAGCCATCCTCAGGAAGGAACTTATCAAGGCGTCAAGCTCATTGATGAACTCTTCAAGGGAACCTGGAGGGCGATAAATGACAAGGATGTTAAGCTTGAATGGGCTAGTGACTGTGACAGCATGGAATTCAAATGAGGAGATAGACAGATGGGTCAGGGGAAAAAGAGAGAATGTCCACTTGGGAGAGATGAGGATTCCTGTGCCACCGCCGCGCTGACCAGATGCTCTCGAGGTATGCGAGAACACATGGTCAGACGAGGAAAGAGCAGTAGGAGTAGCAGTGTTTTCTGTGGTAATCCATGTTTCCGTCAGCGCCATGAAGTCGAGGGACTGGAGGGTAGCATAGGCTGAGATGAACTCTGCCTTGTTGGCTGCAGAACGGCAGTTCCAGAGGCTGCCGGAGACCTGGAACTCCACGTGGGTCGTGCGCGCAGGGACCACCAGATTAGAGTGGTGGCAGCCACGCGGTGTGAAGCGTTTTTATGGCCTGTGCAGAGAGGAGAGAACAGGGATAGACAGACACATAGTTGACAGGCTACAGAAAAAGGCTACAATAATGCAAAGGAGATCGGAATGAAATGAACTAAACATCTGGGAAAGCGAGAGAGCGGGGCCTCCCTCACTTATGTTTCACTGAAACACTCAAATATAACTCTCCCAACTTCCACTTTAGAAATTATAATTGTTTTAAACTACAGCGGTTCAATGTTTTCTTGGAATAGACTAACTTAGTTTATTCAGCTAGCTAACTTGGTACAGTATTCTTCTGTGAAAACTGTCCAGGGCATAATAATCTCATCATGTAGGCTATCCTACCTGCACTGTATCTGGGAGCTGTTGGCTAGAGCGCACGTGCCAAGACCGGAGTGGGCACATTCACTATATAACGATTTTTTTTTTGACAAAACCATCAGTAGAATTTACATGGGAATTTAACCGCAAAAGTTATTTTTATGTGCATTACGTCATCACGCACAGCCTTTTATCTGCATCAAGTCAATTTGATGGAAACACATCACTGGTGCTAAATGCGCATAAAATCAATATGCGCATTTACCACCAGGGATGTGTTTCCAACAAATGGACTTGTTGCAGAGAAAAGGCTGTGCGTGATGACATAGTGCACATAAAAATAACTTTTGCGGTTTCTCGCATAATTCATTTTAGAATATTCGCATTAAAATCTGTTATCAATTAGATGGAAACCTAGCTATTGATGCACATTTAGTTTATTCCTTGTATTGGGAATGCAGTTCACTTATCTCTTTCTTGTTTCTGCCTGCTCCCATAACAAGTATGGGAGCAGGCAGAATTATATTATTATTTATTATTATTATTACAAGTAGGCCTACACACTTTTCTTCCTTTGGTTTCCATAGTAAATGGTGTCTGTTTTGGGCCAAGCTTCTTTTCGGTACATCGTTTGAGTCTCTTTCTCGGTTAGAGAGCAACTGAGATAATTAATGTCCGTGAGAGTGGTGAGTGAGGCACTCTCTGACTTGGAGGAAGGAGATTATTCACTGAGTGAGTGATGAAATGCTAGCTGTGAGTGAGGGTGTTAGGGTCTGTCTGAAAGTGTTTTTCTACCCAGGTCAGGGTGGTTTATTGGATGGTTTATTCCTGATTCCCTCGTGTGGTGAGTGACCCATATGGACCCATCACTACTACCCCTCGCTGTGCTCTTGTCCCTAGTGGCTCTGGTCCACAATTACAGTTCTCTGGGATTTGAAAAATGAATGTGCTTCTGAGTGGTGCTCAATTATGCTTGAGTCCTGATGTTTTGGACATAGCCTGAACTCTCCATCTCTTTCTCTCCCTCTCCAGGGTGTACCCCAGCTGGCCTGTGCCAAGGCCCTGTACAACTACGATGGAAAGGAACCTGGGGACCTCAAGTTCAGTAAGGGTGACATCATCATCCTGCGACGCCAGGTGGATGAGAATTGGTACCATGGAGAGATGGGCGGAGTCCACGGCTTCTTCCCCACCAACTTTGTCCAGATCATCAAGCCGCTGCCGCAGCCCCCGCCACAGTGCAAGGCCCTCTACGACTTTGAGCTGAAAGACAAGGAGGCAGACAAGGACTGCCTGCCCTTCACTAAGGTGAGTTATAGACGACTGTACAGGCCATAGCCCTACCACATAGGACATTGTCGCTAAAGCTGGAACTAGAGATTCTAGCAAGAGTTTTAATTACAACCTATACTGTTTTTTCTAAACTGTGATTTTGGAGCATCTAACAACTGTTGATTGTAAAAGCTCTGTGGCTTAACCCTGACCAAACCTCAGAGTGAAACTGTTCCTGTCTGTCTCTGCAGACGTGTCCTGCTGATGCAAGACATTTTTCCTCCTAGTGTAGAGGACCAGTTATCCACTCGCACACCTAGAACTAGACGGCTACTGTACCATTGCTAAATTACTACATTTCTGGATCTATTCTAATCTACTCAAAGGGTCATTATTTTGGCTTTTATAAGCGGTCTGCTGTTTTTAAAAATGCCTTATGAGCAAAAACTGAAACAAACGAACGTGCTTATCTTGTTCCTTTCTTAACAGGATCCAGTGTACTTTATTACTCAAATAATGTTGCCTTACTGTGGGCACTTCCGTGAGTTTTAATAAAACATGCTCTCTCTCTCAGCCTCATTATTCTTCTATCCTGGGTGTTTGTTCCTAGAAGATCTGAAACTGCTAGTTAGCAGCATGGTAACAAACTCTGCATCTTTTCTCTTCTAGGATGATATTCTGACTGTGATTCGCAGAGTGGACGAAAACTGGGCAGAGGGAATGCTGGGGGATAAAATTGGAATCTTCCCCATATCATATGTTGAGGTAAGCGAAAATGTTTGTCCAAGTCTTAACAACCGGAGTGTCCCTGATATGTCCAGGCAAGCATTTTACCTCAGGTTAGAGGTTGGAAAATGCTGAGTATGTTAGTGCTATCTTTTTTTGTTGCCTTGTTAGACATCTTGCAAAATGTGCACATTAGTGCCCTCTCTGCTCTCCCCTGTTGCTTCACCTCTGAAAACAGTCGCAATATATTTGTACTAAACATACCATTATATTGTCTGGTCATTGTTTACCTTCTCAGCAGCTCTCCATATTCCCATATGCCCCTTAAATACAGCTAGTGTTTGCTCTAATAAGCTTTAGCAATCTTTAGCTTGACATCCTGAGGTAATTCACCGTTGTCCTATAAAAGCCTCTATGATCACTGCTGTTTTAGGAGTGAACTGTCTGCTGGGAGGACAAACCTTACCTGTGTAATAGACCTGGGCTCGGTTTCCCGAGAGCTATGTAATTTAGGCTTACGAGTGTTTTTAACGATGCATCTATCCTACAACGACCAAATATGTAACATGCGTTTCCCAAAACACCACACAGAGAAGAACGTTCGCTAAGGGCTTGTTGAGGTGTGTCGATACTGATAGGATCGAAAGAAAGAGCGCTGCTCTCGGAGCAGTTTTCTCCATTCAAATATTACCTTAACATTATAACTATTCCATAATACTGACGACGGTTCAGCTCCTAGAAAGTTATTATCATGACTGCACATATTGAGGCGGCTTATTCTAATGCTTACACTGATGCACTAAAATCAAGATTTGGCACATCAGTGCGCACATTACACATCATGAAATATATTGAGGCAAAAATTACCGACAGTAGCCTACAATTAGCTAAATACAACTCAATTGAATGAACATGAAATGGATTAAAATATTATTTAATTGTATAGGCCTGTAGCCTATACTCTAGGTAGGCTATTTATATTTTAATGCGGTGATCTCGGTTTTCATTTGAAGCATCTTTTTATCCTTCACTTGTTTGTAACTCATGGGGCGGCGCACAATTGGCCCAGCGTCATCCAGGGTAGGGGAGGGAATGGCCGGCAGGGATGTAGCTCAGTTGGTAGAGTATGGCGTTTGCAACGCCAGGGTTGTGGGTTCGATTCCCACGGGGGGCCAGTATGAAAATATAAATAAAAAAAATGTATGCACTCACTAACTGTAAGTCGCTCTGGATAAGAGCGTCTGCTAAATGACTAAAATGTAATATAAAAATGTAAAATGTAACAATTGCAAAGACATTGGCAACTTTGTATTTTTAGTCAACTTTGTTGTGAAGTTATCGGTGGTCACAGAGAAACATCTTGATTGTATGTTTAGCGGATGTCTGTGTATAAAGTGACGCGGTAGGGAAACATCTAACTGCACACGTAGCTGTTCTACGAGTGGTCTGAGGCACACGTTAGATTACGAGCGTTTTCAAGTGCAATGGTTAACGGTACGCGTATTTGTACCCAACCGTTTGGTCCACACTGTGAATCCGAATGAATACATAACAAAAATAATATATATATATAACACTAACCCTATAGGCTATGCCTACGCTGCGTTGTAGGCCTATGCCTCTTGAGTAAATCTGAGCTGGAATAAATAAACAACTAGAGCCTATGCGCACGTTGTAATCAAAATTCAAATCTTAATTGCCGTATTTCAAACTGTCTTTTTGTAATGCGCAGCTGGGAACTAGTTCTGTATGATGGCAAGTGGTGAGGTCGATAAACCAGAATTGGAGGATCCTCCATCATTGTTTAAATCTCCAGTTTGGGAACATTTTGGCTTCCCAGTAGATTACAACGGCCATGTACAGAGTTGTGGATAAAACGTTAACAGTATGTTGCCATGCTCAACGAGAATAGCCTATGCAGCTGCCAACACCTCAAATATGTTCAAATCAAAGTTTATTGGTCACATACGTGTTTAGCAGATGTTATTGCGGGTGTAGCGAAATGCTTGTGTTTCTAGCTCCAACAGTGCAGTAATATCTAACAAGTAATATCTAACAAATACACACAAATCTAAAGTAAAGGAATGGAATTAAGAATATATAAATATTTGGACGAGCAATGTCAGAGCGGCATAGACTAAGATACAGTAGAATAGTATAGAATACAGAATATACATATGAGATGAGTAATGCAAAATATGTAAACATTAAAGTGACTAGTGTTCCATTATTAAAGTGGCCAGTGATTTCAAGTCTATGTACAGTGGGGAAAAAAAGTATTTAGTCAGCCACCAATTGTGCAAGTTCTCCCACTTAAAAAGATGAGAGAGGCCTGTAATTTTCATCATAGGTACACGTCAACTATGACAGACAAATTGAGAAGAAAATAATCCAGAAAATCACATTGTAGGATTTTTAATGAATTTATTTGCAAATTATGGTGGAAAATAAGTATTTGGTCACCTACAAACAAGCAAGATTTCTGGCTCTCACAGACCTGTAACTTCTTCTTTAAGAGGCTCCTCTGTCCTCCACTCGTTACCTGTATTAATGGCACCTGTTTGAACTTGTTATCAGTATAAAAGACACCTGTCCACAACCTCAAACAGTCACACTCCAAACTCCACTATGGCCAAGACCAAAGAGCTGTCAAAGGACACCAGAAACAAAATTGTAGACCTGCACCAGGCTGGGAAGACTGAATCTGCAATAGGTAAGCAGCTTGGTTTGAAGAAATCAACTGTGGGAGCAATTATTAGGAAATGGAAGACATACAAGACCACTGATAATCTCCCTCGATCTGGGGCTCCACGCAAGATCTCACCCCGTGGGGTCAAAATGATCACAAGAACGGTGAGCAAAAATTCCAGAACCACACGGGGGGACCTAGTGAATGACCTGCAGAGAGCTGGGACCAAAGTAACAAAGCCTACCATCAGTAACACACTACGCCGCCAGGGACTCAAATCCTGCAGTGCCTGACGTGTCCCCTTGCTTAAGCCAGTACATGTCCAGGCCCGTCTGAAGTTTGCTAGAGTGCATTTGGATGATCCAGAAGAGGATTGTTTGGAGGACAAAGAATGCTGAGTTGCATCCAAAGAACACCATACCTACTGTGAAGCATGGGGGTGGAAACATCATGCTTTGGGGAAGTTTTTCTGCAAAGGGACCAGGACGACTGATCCGTGTAAAGGAAAGAATGAATGGGGCCATGTATCGTGAGATTTTGAGTGAAAACCTCCTTCCATCAGCAAGGGCATTGAAGATGAAACGTGGCTGGGTCTTACAGCATGACAATGATCCCAAACACACCGCCCGGGCAACGAAGGAGTGGCTTCGTAAGAAGCATTTCAAGGTCCTGGAGTGGCCTAGCCAGTCTCCAGATCTCAACCCCATAGAAAATCTTTGGAGGGAGTTGAAAGTCAGTGTTGCCCAGCGACAGCCCCAAAACATCACTGCTCTAGAGGAGATCTGCATGGAGGAATGGGCCAAAATACCAGCAACAGTGTGTGAAAACCTTACAGAAAACGTTTGACGTGTGTCATTGCCAACAAAGGGTATATAACAAAGTATTGAGAAACGTTTGTAATTGACCAAATACTTATTTTCCACCATAATTTGCAAATACATTCATTAAAAATCCTACAATGTGATTTTCTGGATTTTCTCATTTTGGCTGTCATAGTTGACGTGTACCTATGATGAAAATTACAGGCCTCTCATCTTTTTAAGTGGGAGAACTTGCACAATTGGTGGCTGACTAAATACTTTTTTTCCCCACTGTACTTGGCTGTACATCTGATCTAGTGCTACGTGTGTACATGGGACCCCCTGGTGAACCCAGCTTAGCACTGCCTCTCCTCAGGATTGGTGTGAAATTCTCCACTTTTATGTCCTAAGTAGAGGGAGAGCAGCTCGGGGCTATCTGTGTTGTGGAGTGCTCCCTTGTCCGCCTTGTGATTAGCTAAACCCTTTTTAGTGTTCCTCCTTTGATTCCTACCTCACATGAAAGGCTGTGAAAGCCTGCAGTCTGCTCTCCTCTGCTCTGCTGCATGCCTGAAAATCGTCCACTCCCACTCCCCCTGAGCCCAAGGTTCTCTCTCAACCCCCTGGCACTGGCAGCATTCTCAGTATACTGCGTTCTCCCATCAGATAAAGGCACAGGGTGTTTTTTACTACAACTAGTTTCATTTTGAAGAGTGAATGCTTTCATTATTATATTAACGATTCCTGCTCTCATTTCCCCTCCTTTCCTTCCCCTATATCCCTCCTGTTCCCCTATTCCCCCTCTCCTCTCCTCCTGTAGTTTAACACTGCAGCCCGTCAGCTGATTGAGTTGGACAAGCCTGGTGACTCCAGTGGGGACTCTGGCGAGGGGGCCTCGTCGGGCCCCCAGAGTAACGGTGGCCCCCACCGTGCCGGGGAGAAGAAGAACAGTAAGAAACGACACTCGTTCACATCCCTCACCATGTCCCACAAGCCCTGTCTGGCCCCGCCCCCCCAGAGACACTCCATGGAGATCAGTGGGCCCGTCCTCATCAGCTCCTCCAACCCCACGGCAGCCGCACGCATCGGAGAGATCAGTGGAGGACTGTCCTGCAGTGCACCCTCACAGGTGAGATAGGGGGGAGGGAAGGAGGGGGAGGAGTAAATGGGAGATAGTAAGAGAGGGCTCTCCTGCAGCGCACCCTCACGATGACATACTATATGGTGAGATGAAGGGGAGGGAGGAAATGGAGAGGGGAGAGAGCTTCTCCGTTCCCCCTAGCCCTGTGTCTTTGTACTGTTTGGTTAGGGGTCTTGTATTCAATAAGGAAGCCACTAAATTGAGAACCTTATCTCTCTCTGAAGCACTCTGTATGATGAATGGACTTAATTTGTCCAGAACCCTGACTCTATTGTCCCCATTAATGAATTCCTCCAGAATTTACTGCATATTTTTGTTCTGAACAATAACATCCCCTTAAACCAGAATTGGAAAAACCAGAACGTTGGCCAGCATAGCAGCTCATTTGTCTATGGCTGGGTGTCTGGACTATGGACAAGTGTATAATCTCTGCCATTTATTTCATGGGATAGGTGATGATAGACTATCTTGGATGTGGATGTTTTATCCTCTCCTGTCACCTGGTCTGTCATAGCCCTCAGTGTGTGTCCTGCCCATGTCGGCTCCACTCTGTCCATCTGGGCCTGTTAATCAGTGGTAATGCGTGAGAGAGAGGAACAGGAGGAAACAATGTGCACCCAAGATGCTCACGCAACAAGCATAAACAAGCAGATTCAACTAACATTCTTGTTTTCATCCAATGTTTGTTTCCCTGACAAAGATTCCACTCTCCTTCTGTCAGCCCCCCCCCCCCCCCCCCCCCCTGTCATTCCGAACAGGCCATCGCTCCATCCAAGCGTTTGAAATCACGGATGCGTGACTCCACTCGCCCGCAAAAAAGACTGCAGCTTAGCCCCTGAGGTTTCCACAGCAACCCGGAATGGCAACAACTCACAGCTGCTCTGTGGTTGCCTGACACTGTAGAGAGAAAGGGGCTGGGGACATGACAGACAGACAGTTGACAGACAGTTAACAGACAGTCAGACAGATTTGTCAGCGTTGTAGGCAGGCATTCTGTGACTGACGGAAGCTGTGAAGTGAGGAAACCTTTAGAAGGTTGCTTTGTTTTGTTTTTTTCATTTTCTCTGCAGCTGAGCAGAGAACAGTGTAGAGGAGAACTGCCTCACCCCAGCCTGCCTGGTATACAGAGTAGGGACTTTTATACTGACATTGCAAATGACCATACACTCTTTATATGAAGATCAGATGTTGACTTCATCTCATCAGTGTTTTTTTGGTTTGAAGTATCTCAAAATAGGTATATTCTTTCTGAAATGTGTTTTCGGATTAAACCAACAGGGCTTTATTGTCTCAGTGGTTTGACAGCATTCATATAAATGTAACATGCAACAATTAGTAGCATTTTACAGAGTTACAGTTCATATACGGAAAATCAGTCAATTGAAATAAATTGATTAGGCCCTAATCTATGGATTTCACATGACTGGCAATACAGATATGCATCTGTTGGTCACATATACCTTTAAAAAAAAAGGGGCGTGGATCAGAAAACCAGTCAGTATCTGTTGTGACCACCATTTGCCTCATGCAGCTCGACGACACATCTCCTTCGCATAGAGTTGATCAGGCTGTTGATTGTGGCCTGTGGAATGTTGTCCCACTCCTCTTCAATGGCTGTGTGAACTTGCTGGATATTGGTGGGAACTGGAACATGCTGTCGTACACGTCGATCCAGAGCATCCCAAACATGCTCAATGGGTGACATGTCTGGTGAGTATGTAGGCCATGGAAGAACTGGGAAATGTTCAGCTTCCAGGAATTGTGTACAGGTCCTTGCAACATGGGGCCGTGCATTATCATGCTGAAACATGAGGTGATGACGGCAGATGAATAGCATGACAATGGGCCTCAGGATCTCATCACGGTATCTCTGTGCATTCAAATTGCCATCAATAAAAGGCAAATTGTGTTCATTGTCCATAGCTTATGCCTGCCCATACCATAACCCCACCGCCACCATGGGGCACTCTGTTTACAACGTTGACATCCGCAAACCGCTCGCCCACACAACGCCATACACGTGGTCTGCAGTTGTGAGGCCGGTTGGACGTACTGCCAAATTCTCTAAAACGACGTTGGAGGCGGCTTATGGTAGAGAAATTAACATTCAATTCTCTGGCAACAGCTCTGTTGGACATTCCTGCAGTCAGCATGCCAATTGCACGCTCCTTCAAAACATTAGACATTTGTGGCATTGTATTGTGACAAAACTGCACATTTTAGTGGCCCCAGCACAAAGTGCACCTGTGTAATGATCATTCTGTTTAATCAGCTTCTTGATATGCCACACCTGTCAGGTGGATGGATTACCTTGGCAAAGGAGAAATGCTCACTAACACACAAATTTGAGGGAAATTAGCTTTTTGTGTGGAACATTACGGGGATCTTTTTATTTCAGCTCATGAAACATGGGACCAAGACTTTACATGTTGCGTTCATATTTTTGTTCAGTGTACATTCTAAGTGATTTCAATGGGTCTTTCTCCATTGTGATTGTTTTATACTGTTCAATAAAACTTCAACCACAAAATGTTCATACATTTCAGCATTTCCTGCAATAATTTTAGATAATGGGCTGCACGCAACGGGCAAAAAATCTAGGCCTTCTTTTTAACCAAATGTTGCAATTGCCATTTTACTTGCGATTTAGATTTTAAAAACTTGGGTGAACTGTTGGAATCATGGAAATAGGATTATTGTAATTCTATAGTTAGAATATAATAGTGGGCACTTTGAAAGAGTGTTTTACATGACAACGAATGAAACTGCCAGGGAGGAGTCATTTTTACAGGGTAGGAACCAAAGTGTTGGTCAGTGTTTCCTAGGGGACCCTATAATCTTTGGCTACATTAAACGTTTTCTCTTAGCTACTTCATGTAGCTAACATATTCATCCTTCGCCTATTCCGCTTTAGAAGATACTGTTGCACAAACAGCATGCTGTTTTAAGCCTACACCATCACTGGTATCAGGTTGTATAGCTAGCTACGTTTGCTCTGACTCAGTACATTTATTAGCTGGTTAGCTAGCCATCTAACTAGCGATTAGTATTAGCGGCTAACACAACTAGCGATTTCCATTAGTGGCTAACACGCTTTAGCCACAACTTGCTAATAAAAGACAAACTATGTAGCTGTTTGCAGATGTAAGAAAAACGAGTAGTGTAATTACAGAACGCTTGTGGATTTATATTAAGAAGCGAAGTGGAAACGGCATAGTTGTCATCAACATTGTTGCATGACAGTGCAGAATGAAAGCAAGTGTCTCATTGTCGAGCAACAACAAATGCACTCCTTGAGTGACGGGGCGGGGCTAGGTCTGTGTGGAATGCGGCATGGAGAGAGAGATGACTCAAATACCGGAGTAAACTATACAAATGGACGTAACACACAGCGTATCACATTTAACAAACCAAACTACCGTTTATAGAAGGTAAAGGTAAAAACTCAAACCGGTCCATGCATCAATACCGGTGTATATAGTAAAATATGGTATACCGCCGAGCCCTAGCATCCTCTTCTCTGTCTTACCTTCCTGGGCTCTGGGCTGCAACACATCTCAGACACACTGACATGATTTACCCACAGCTTCTCCTGGGAAACAGCAGCAACACAAAGCCCTTCTACAACTGGTGGCATTCCTTAGTTACGGCTCTCGTGTGTGTGTGTTGACTATGCTATCAGAGCATGTTTGTTTGTGTGTGTGCAGGCAGTTCTTTTCATGTTGGGATGATCCATCTCTCATTAAAGCCGTGACCCCACAGGGTGGGGAGGGGAGAATCATGTTAAACTCTCCAGACCTGGCTTTATCTGCCCTAATTATGAACCAGACACGCTCAGTATTATAAAATCTCCATGCACACCTGGAAGCTATAGGACTTAAGATGGGTTTGATTTATAGATGAATGTGTTTAATAAAAACACATAAAAAGAAGATAGACTCCCCAGGCGAAATCTGTGTGGCTCGGTCTCCTTTTCTCTCGCGCCTCTTCTCCCTCCTTCAAAGCAGACAGAAAGGGAAGCAGTAGTTGCCTGGGGGGCCAGAGGGAGGGAGTGTATGGGAATGAACACGCCCTCTGTACTGCTTTTATTTCAGTCAGAGAGTGGAAAGAGAAATGAAGAGAATGTATAAAGGAGCCTGCTGTATATGAAAACAGACCTATTACCCTTTTTAAAATGTTGTAAAACGGAACATTTTCAGTTAATTGACAGTGTAATTGATGTGCCAGTGCTGTACACATACACTCACATATGTTCCATGTAGCTCATACACATAATGTACTTATTGTGATCGAGATGTAGTTGTCCCTGATTGCACTGACTTTGCTCACAGCTGCTTGTTTGAAGAAGTGTACTTACTGTAATCAAGATGTGGTTGTCCCACTGGCTATCCTAAGTTGAATGAACCAATTTGTAAGTCGCTCTGGATAAGAGCATCTGCTAAATGACTTAAATGTTAAATATAACAAAATGTATAGCCTAGTACTTTGTGTCTGTCTTGCCTGATTGCACCTTCCCCTTCCACACACTGCACCGTTCTACTGTACAGTTGATTGAGTCTGAGGTGGGTCCTCTGTAATGATTCACCTTGAAAGGTAGCTCTGCTCTGTCTGAGGCAGTCATGCATGGGATGATGGAGAGTACAGGGTACAAGGAGACATCGTGTATCCAACAGTATCGCCCTGTTACCAGGACAGCCACAGTGAATGAGTCAGTGTCACACCGCTGGGGTTCCCAGTCGCTCAGCAAGAGACTTCAGCACTCACCTGTCTTCACCCAGCCAATGAAAACTTGTGATTGGCACAACCCAGCCAATCGTGTCATTGGGACACTAGCACAGCTTGATTTGGCCAATTGGGTTGACTGCTGCTGTGAAGGCGACATTTCCATTCAATGTGACATTAAGGCCATGTGTGTGCTGGTTAAGAGATGAAATAACTAGTCTGTTAGTTCAAACATGACAGCCTACTTCTACCCATGTGAGACTGGATGTGAGGGGACAGACTGGCACAAATTGACCAAGACATATGTCCCATCTGATGGAGCTCCATTCAGTTGCAAGTTCTGTCTTCTATGTGTAATGTCTGCCTGAAAGTATTATATTGTGGGGGAGTAGTATTGGTTGAGTAAGTTGTCTGACTTTCTGTTTTCTCTCCTCAACAGGTACACATCTGTACAACTGGACTCCTCGTGACCCCTCCCCCCAGCAGTCCTGTTACTACGGCAACCGTCTTCACATTTCCCCCAGAGACCAGTTATGCATCCATCCCTGTGGTAGGTGCACTTCTATATAAAACCTTTACTGTATTCAGACCAACAGTTCAGTATAACAATAGGGTTCTTGCAACTACACTATTGTTTCCCTAATTAGGGATGGGCGTGAGTACTCGAACGGACGTCAAAGCTCTGTCTTTAGCCAGAGATTACATTTATTATTATTTTTTTTTTTACTGTAAATCTATTTGGTGGAATGTGCTTTGTGGCTCCCAGAACAGGAAAGTGAAATTTTGTCTTGGAAGATAACGTTAATTTGCTTTGACTCTAGTGTGCCATTTGTACATGTGCATTTGCGAGGCACAACAAAAAAGAAACCAAGCCAAGCATCATACTTTTCTTCTCCCTAAATTCCCTTTCCCAGTCGTGCCTCATTCACTCAATTGCGTTCCGACTGCTCCCTACACACACGTGTGCTGAATGCGCACAAGCTCCGGTTAGGACTACAGAAATAAATGCAGATAAAAACATATCTAACTGATGGGAAAAACAAGCTACGTTCGTTGCCAAATGACGACAGTTTTATCACAAATTCAAAATGGACGACAGTTTTGGAATAATTGCATCCCGTCTGTTTTCCTTTTAGGCTACTTTGCGAACTGCTAGCTATAACCCCCCTAAACATAGACAGGTTCCACAGTGAAAGTATGCAAAAACATTAGTTTGATAAAGATAAAAGCATATTTTCATCAGAATCATTAAGCATAGATTTACTCACCAAACAGATGTCAAGGCCGTAATTCATCGCCATGCAGTGTTCAATGTGGAATTGTTAATCCATTTGGAAAATTCCCAAGAACAGGCAAAATAAACCAAATTGAACGTCTGTATATCAAAAAGAATCCAGATTTTGAACCCTGAAAACATTATTTCAATTTGCCAAATTGAGCCCCGTTTCAATTGATCACTATGAGATTAACTGTTCCAGACTCGAGATGCGCATCACTTTGCACTGGCAACTTTTTTCATGCTATTTTCAATTGATCACTATGAGATTAACTGTTCCAGACTCGAGATGCGCATCACTTTGCACTGGCAACTTTTTTCATGCTCTTTTATACTGTTATATTACATGTTTTTTACTATAAAATAAGTGCGTCTTGACTATGATAAGGGCTTGTGAAATGAGTGTCTTGTCTGCTAAATTAACAAAACAAGGCTATGCCATTGCAGAGCCATATGCTTCTAAAAGCAAACGCCACTGCTGAGGTTACTACCTTTTTGAAGATTGTGTTCCACCATATAATATAACCAGTTGAGATTACGGTTTCAGTAAATTAATCTTAAATGGCACTTGCTTTTTTATTGACTGAATGTGGCAATTTAGCAATTAAGATTTGTTATTATAAATGTGGCAATGCTGTGCACTGTTGGCATAGGCCTATAGATAAATGCGAAAGAAAACATTATCCAGTGCAGTTCTAAAATTATATTTATTTTCCGTTTGATTATCGGAGTAAAAAAATAAATATCATGTGAGTATTCGAACAGTCAAAACATTTCAAATGCCCATTCCTACCCCTACTAATGGTTTAAAAAAGTATTTAGGTTGATCTATGTTACTTTACTTACATCAGTCTCCTCCATACACGATAGCATGTATCTGTGGCATGCTCAGCTGACTGTGTGTGTGGCTGTGTTGGTATGTGGTACTGCTGAACGGGGGAGAATGTGTACACAAAGGTTAATCTCTCCGCTTCACTGGGGAACTAACTCTACATTATGTTGCTGTACAGATGATTTCTCTGGCCTGCAGGCAATGACATTATCTCAGCTCCAGCGTCAGCAGCACACCCACAGACATGGTAGCGTGTAGGCCCTTCTGAGTGTATTTCCACCACCCTCCCCCACTGCTCCATGGTAGTTATGTCTGTCTGCTCCTCAGGCCTGTTAATGTCAAGCTGAGACACATTTGTCTTGTTCCTGGAGATGGGGCCTGAATTATTTACCGTCTGCAATGCCTTTCTCTGCAGATATATTGATAGGTTTGCATGTTTAGAAGAAAACAACCCCCTTTCCCAGTACACCAATATGTCAGTGTGTATGATTGTGTAAGAGTTGTTTTGGTCACGTTAGAGGCCTATGCCAATAGGAGGGAAAGGAGAGCCCAGAAGAATCTGCTAGGAGCAGCCCTGAGGGCTAAACTATATAATGTTTACAGAAATGTTTTCACTTTCATATGGTTCCAATTAAACACAGTAATGGATTCACCTGGCCCCAGTCTCGTTTCTATAGCAACAAACAAACAAGCACAATGGAGATTCCTTCCCAGTTCTATGGGGAAGTTGGGGACAAGACCAAACTTCTGTGCCAAGCGATACTCTCCCTCATTGAACAGAGTAAACGATATCCCTCTTTCACCATGCAGTTTCTCTCATTATGTAACACCTAGTCATTGGTTAAAAGGCCAGGGGTATGGTTCTCATGTATCATTGCATCAAGAGCTATAATGTAATTCTGTCATGTTGCACTGAAGGCAGTGAGTCGTTTACTTGTTTCCTGTCTTTCGGTTCCAAACAATACAGGTTTTTTATGTGAGGGATTTGCTTCAAGCTTATTGTGAACTGTTCTGTGCTGTCTGATCTCTGTTTCAGACTGTGTTTTTTTGTTGTTGTTGACAGGATGCTCTCCCTCCTCCCCCACCACCTCCCCCACAATCTTCAGCGCTGGGAGCAGCCTCCTCATTGGCTGCCGGTCAGAGACCTTCCCCCAGCACAAGCGACCAGAGTGGGAGACAAAGACCCACAGTGTGAGTACACACACACACACACACACACACACACACACACACACACACAAAGATATACATGTAACACTCTTCCATGTATAAAGTACCAGCACACTAAACCAGAGAGAACATGCAGTGAAACAGCACGTTCTACACATGGCTAGGGCATGGGGGTGTCTGTGTTCTGGGAGTTCTCCAAGCCTCTAAATGACCGCTCAGCTGTCAGTGTGGAGCACCAGAGGTTGACCCAGAGCACAGGTGAAGGGTGAAAGGTCAACACCTGTGGGGTATGGCGTCTCCTGGGTCCTATCAGAGATCCTGCCTGTGACCCCTGGCCTCTCACATCATTACTCCTCTGAGAGACTCCAGACACCTGATAGGAATTAGATACGGCCCACCTCCCCAAAGTGTCTGTGTGTTAAAGCATTTCTCTTCAGTTCCCCTCCCCTGACACCAGTGAAAGTGTTTATGCTGTCTGTCAGCAGTGGTTCTTTAAAGCCTCTTCCCCTCTGAGGTTCTTGGAGACTTGTCTTTCCCACTTCCTTTACAGCACCTCAGTGGAGCCCTGACTCACACAGCTGTGTCATGCAGAACGTTGCCATAGTATTCCTCTACAGCAGGGATGGGCAACTTTGATGTGGGTGAACTCATCATGAGGGGCCGCAGTGGCTCCCGGGTCTACGTACCCACATCCATACACACACCGGCAGTCAGAGCCGGCCCTAGCCTTTTGGGGGCCCCCAGGGAAATGTAATTTCCTGCAATACTACACATTTTGCCATGTGGCGTACAGAAAATGTTGTACTTTTAAAGCAAGTATGTTGCAATTCTACCAATTTTGGAATGGGGTGGAGAGAAGATTTAGCAATTTTATATATCATTTTGCCATGGGGCATTCTACACATTTTGCGTTAGTGACTAACAAAATCAACGGGGGCCCCCCGGTCGGTAATTCGACCATGATTACTACAAGTTTAGACACAGTGCCTATATACAGTTGAAGTCAGAAGTTTACATACCCCTTACCCAAATACATTTAAACTCAGTTTTTCACAATTCCTGACATTTAATCCTAGTAAAAATTCCCTGTCTTAGGTCAGTTAGGATCACCACTTTATTTTTAGAATGTGAAATGTCCGAATAATAGTAGAGTGATTTATTTAAGCTTTTATTTCTTTCATCACATTCCCAGTGGGTCAGACGTTTACATACACTCAATTAGTATTTGGTAGCATTGCCTTTAAATTGTTTAACTTGGGTCAAACGTTTCGGGTAGCCTTCCACAAGCTTCCCACAATAAGTTGGGTGAATTTTGGCCCATTCCTCCTGACAGAGCTGGTGTAACTGAGTCAGGTTTGTAGGCCTCCTTGCTCGCACACGCTTTTTCAGTTATGCCATCACATTTTCTATAGGATTGAGGTCAGGGCTTTGTGATGGCCACTCCAGTACTTTGACTTTGTTGTCCTTAAACCATTTTTCCACAACTTTGGAAGTATGCTTGGGGTCATTGTCCATTTGGAAGACCCATTTGCGACCAAGCTTTAACTTCCTGACTGATGTCTTGAGATGTTGCTTCAATATATCCACATAATTGTCCTTCCTCGTGATGCCATCTACGTTGTGAAGTGCACCAGTCCATCCTGCAGCAAAGCACCCCCACAGCATGATGCTGCCACCCCGTGCTTCACGGTTGGGATGGTGTTCTTCGGCTTGCAAGCAACCCCCTCCAAACATAACGATGGTCATTATGGCCAAACAGTCCTATTTTTGTTACATCAGACCAGAGGACATTTCTCCAAAAAGTACGATCTTTGTCCCCACGTGCAGTTTCAAACCGTAGTCTGGCTTTCTTATGGCGGTTTTGGAGCAGTGGCTTCTTCCTTGCTGAGCGGCCTTTCAGGTTATGTCGATATAGGACTCGTTTTACTGTGGATATACACTGCTCAAAAAAATAAAGGGAACACTAAAATAAAACATCCTAGATCTGAATGAATTAAATAATCTTATTAAATACTTTTTTCTTTACAGAGTTGAATGTACTGACAACAAAATCACACACAAATTATCAATGGAAATCAAATTTATCAACCCATGGAAGTCTGGATTTGGAGTCACCCTCAAAATTAAAGTGGAAAACCACACTACAGGCTGATCCAACTTTGATGTAATGTCCTTAAAACAAGTCAAAATGAGGCTCAGTAGTGTGTGTGGCCTCCACGTGCCTGTATGACCTCCCTACAATGCCTGGGCATGCTCCTGATGAGGTGGCGGATGGTCTCCTGAGGGATCTCCTCCCAGACCTGGACTAAAGCATCCGCCAACTCCTGGACAGTCTGTGGTGCAACGTGGTGTTGGTGGATGGAGCGAGACATGATGTCCCAGATGTGCTCAATTGGATTCAGGTCTGGGGAACGGGCGGGCCAGTCCATAACGTCAATGCCTTCCTCTTGCAGGAACTGCTGACACTCCAGCCACATGAGGTCTAGCATTGTCTTGCATTAGGAGGAACCCAGGGCCAACCGCACCAGCATATGGTCTCACAAGGGGTCTGAGGATCTCATCTCGGTACCTAATGGCAGTCAGGCTACCTCTGGCGAGCACATGGAGGGCTGTGCGGCCCCCCAAAGAAATGCCACCCCACACCATGACTGACCCACCGCCAAACCGGTCATGCTGGAGGATGTTGCAGGCAGCAGAACGTTCTCCACGGCGTCTCCAGACTCTGTCACGTCTGTCACATGTGCTCAGTGTGAACCTGCTTTCATCTGTGAAGAGCACAGGGCGCCAGAGGCGAATTTGCCAATCTTGGTGTTCTCTGGCAAATGCCAAACGTCCTGCACGGTGTTGGGCTGTAAGCACAAAACCAACCTGTGGACGTCGGGCCCTCATACCACCCTCATGGAGTCTGTTTCTGACCGTTTGAGCAGACACATGCACATTTGTGGCCTGCTGGAGGTCATTTTGCAGGGCTCTGGCTGTGCTCCTCCTGCTCCTCCTTGCACAAAGACGGAGGTAGCGGTCCTGCTGCTGGGTTGTTGCCCTCCTACGGCCTCCTCCACGTCTCCTGATGTACTGGCCTGTCTCCTGGTAGCGCCTCCATGCTCTGGACACTACGCTGACAGACACAGCAAACCTTCTTGCCACAGCTCGCATTGATGTGCCATCCTGGATGAGCTGCACTACCTGAGCCACTTGTGTGGGTTGTAGATTCCGTCTCATGCCACCACTAGAGTGAAAGCACCGCCAGCATTCAAAAGTGACCAAAACATCAGCCAGGAAGCATAGGAACTGAGAAATGGTCTGTGGTCACCACCTGCAAAACCAGTCCTTTATTGGGGGTGTCTTGCTAATTGCCTATAATTTCCACCTGTTGTCTATTCCATTTGCACAACAGCATGTGAAATTTATTGTCAATCAGTGTTGCTTCCTAAGTGGACAGTTTGATTTCACAGAAGTGTGATTGACTTGGAGTTACATTGTGTTGTTTAAGTGTTCCCTTTATTTTCTTGAGCAGTGTAGATACTTTTGTACTTGTTTCCTCCAGCATCTTCACAAGGTCCTTTGCTGTTGTTCTGGGATTGATTTGCACTTTTCGCATCAAAGTACGTTCATCTTTAGGAGACAGAACGCGTCTCCTTCCTGAGCGGTATGACGGCTGCGTGGTCCCATGGTGTTTATACTTGCGTACTATTGTTTGTACAGTTGAACGCGGTACCTTCAGGAGTTTGGAAATTGCTCCCAAGGATGAACCAGACTTGTGGAGGTCTACAATTCTTTTCTGAGGTCTTGGCTGATTTCTTTTCATTTTCCCATGCTGTCAAGCAAAGAGGCACTGAGTTTGAAGGTAGGCCTTGAAATACATCCACAGGTACACCTCCAATTGACTCAAATTATGTCAATTAGTCTATCAGAAGCTTCTAAAGCCATGACATCATTTTCTGGAATTTTCCAAGCTGTTTAAAGGCACAGTCAACTTAGTGTATGTAAACTTCTGACCCACTGGAATTGTGATACAGTGAATTATAAGTGAAATAATCTGTCTGTAAACAATTGTTGGAAAAATTACTTGTTTCATGCACAAAGTAGATGTCCTAACTGACATTCCAAAACTATAGTTTGTTAACAAGAAATGTGTGGAGTGGTTGAAAAATTAGTTTTAATGACTGGAAACTTCAGACTTCAACTATAGTTAGTCTAGCAAGGACTGTAGCTAGCAAGACTAACTGACATGGGCTAATTGAGTGACTCAGAAACCATGTTTCCATCCACAGTTTTTATGCGACAGCTGTGATGGAAACAGGATGTTTTTGTACAATTTTATAAATGCCAACAGATAATTTGTTCGTTCGACATGGTGGGATCTTTTTGTGTCTGTAAAGTTAATTATGCGAGAAATGGCAGTTTAAACGGCTTTATGCGCAAATATTGATATAACAACCATCAAATCGAAATAAACTTGGAGTGACGCAATGATATGTTGTGTGGTCCTCTCACTACAACTCGGGAAACCGTGCAGTTTATTAGGCTACAGATGAAATAAGTTATGATGAACTTCACAGTGTGGTAAAAGTGCACAATGCGCTTGATGCTCCTTTCCAATTAATATCAAGGGTCTTATTCTGGTGACATGATTATGGATGCTTGACTGCCGTTTGACAAATACAAATATTCTCGTTCTTATCCATAATCCAGCCTACCCCGCACAGCCTTCGCACTGTATCTGCAAGCTGTTGGATAGAGCGCACATGCAAAGACCAGCGTAGCCCCTAATAAAAAAGAATCTGACCAAAACTATCGATAGAGTTGAAAATGCGATGGAAACACATTGAACTTTTAGATTTTTATTTGGTACATGAAAACTTAAGCTAAAAAGTACATTTTGTTTGCACTATGTCATCATACACTGATTTTTATCTGCAACAAGTCAGTTTGGTGGAAACACCACTGATGGGAAAATGTACGTTTTCTTTATGCAGATCTTTTTTATATTAGCATGAAAATCTGTCCCCAGTTGGATGGAAACCTAGCTGCTGACTGACATAAGAGAGAAACTGCTGATGCACAACCAAATTTCGAAATTGCATCTGGTGTATTCTACAATTATAACGCTCAACAGTGAGTTGAATATTTATTTATTGTTTTATATTGGGGGGGGGGTAATTGATCCACTGGCCGCCAGTTGCCCATCCCTGCTCTACAGTAATATAGTGCCTCTTTCTCTGAACGTACTGTAGGAAGACCAGTCCAGAGAGGAATGTCCAACTCGGTCAGCCAGTAAGTGCCTACTAGAGAGAGAGGGGAGATGTTGATGGACATACTGTAGCCTGTGGAAGGGGGGTACATTTTGCTCATGTGACAGATTAGATGTTTTGAACCCACAACATGTCTTTGAGTCATTTCCTCCTGAGGTTAATTTGACGGTCCCTGTGTGTATGGCCACGTGTGTGCCTCGGTGTGTGTCCATGTGTGTGTTTGATGTGTCCCGTCTCTCTCTCCCCCCTCTACAGCTACGTGGCCCTGTTTCCCTACACCCCCCGTAAGGAGGATGAGCTGGAGCTGAGGAAGGGAGAGATGTTCCTGGTGCTGGAGCGCTGTCAGGACGGATGGTTCAAAGGCACCTCCATGCACACTGGCAAAATAGGAGTGTTCCCCGGCAACTACATGAGCCCCGTCAGCAGGTCTGTCACAGACGCAGACATTACGCATGCAAACACGCACATACACTACATGAACAAAAGTATGTGGACACCTGCTCGACAAACATCTCATTCTAAAATCATAGGCATTCTTATGGAGTTGGTCCGCCCTTGGCTGCTATAACAGCCTCCACTCCTCTGGGAAGGCTTTCCACTAGATGTTGGAACATTGCTGCAGGGACTTGCTTCCATTCCGCCACAAGAGCATTAGTGAGGTTGGGCACTGATGTTGGGCGATTAGGCCTGGCTCGCAGTCGGCTTTCCAATTCATCCCAAGGTGTTAGATGGGGTTGAGGTCAGGGCTCTGTGCAGGCCAGTCAAGTTCTTCTACTCCGATCTCGACAAACCATTTCTGTATGGACCTCGCTTTGTGCACGCGGGCATTGTCATGCTGAAACAGGCAAGGGCCTTCTCCAAACTGTTGCCACAAAGTTGGAAGCACAGAATCGTCATTGTATGCTGTAGCATTAAGATTTCCCTTCACTGGAATTAAGGGGCCTAGCCCGAACCATGAAAAACAGCCCCAGACCATTATTCCTCCTCCACCAAACTTTACAGTTGGCACTATGCATTGGGGTAGGTAGCGTTCTCCTGGCATCCGCCAAACCCAGATTCGTTCGTCGGACTGCCAGATGGTGATGCATGATTCATCACTCCAGAAAACGTTTCCACTGCTTCAGAGTCCAATGGCGGCGAGCTTTACACCACTCCAGCCATCGCTTGGCATTGCGCATGGTGATCTTAGGCTTGTTTGCGGCTGCTCGGCCATTCAAACCCAATATCATGAAGCTCCCAATGAACAGTTATTGTGCCAACGTTGTTTCCAGAGGCAGTTTGGAACTCGGTAGTGAGTGTTGCAACCGAGGACAGAGAATTTTTCAGCACTCGGCGGTCCTGTTCTGTGAGCTTGTGTGGCCTACCACTTCGCGGCTGAGCCGTTGTTTCTTCTAGACATTTCCACTTCACAATAACAGCACTTACAGTTGACCGGGACAGCTCTAGCAGGGCAGACATTTAACCAACTGACTTGTTGGAAAGGTGGCATCCTATGACAGTGCCACGTTGAAAGGCACTGAGCTCTTCAGTAAAGCCATTCTACTGCCAATGTTTGTCTATGGAGATTGCATGGCTGTGTGCTCGATTTCATACACCTGTCAGCAACGGGGAATCCAGTTGAAAGCTATGATCCCTTATTGATGTCACTTATTAAATCTACTTCAATCAGTGTAGATGAAGGGGAGGAGACAGGTTAAAGAAGGATTTTTAAGCCTTGAGACAATTGAGACATGGATTGTGTATGTGTGCCATTCGGAGGGTAGTGCTGAGCGATTAGTGCTTTTTGAGGTCGGGTTCGATTCTTTTTTATTTTTTATCACAGTTTTCAATTTCGATTTCTATAAAAATGTTTTAACATGAAATGCATTAGGAAATAAATACGTTACTATGATTGTAGAGCTTTTTAATGGAAATTCCAAAGCCAAAAATAGTCAACCATTGTCTCTGATCAGGTCCACATTGGGTAGACATCAATAGGAAATTACTATGAAATATTAAAATATTTAAGTTGTGTATATTACTTTCTATTTGATGACTATTCTTTTTCATTCCTGTCATCTCAGGCAGTAGCAGCCAGCCAGCCAGACAACCATCTAACATTATCTCTGTGCTCCCCATACTGTACTGTCTTTAGTCATCCTATTTAGCTAGCCTGCCTAATTATGCTGCTTAGCTGTCTGACGATATCATTTTACTAGTTCTTCAAAGTAGATAAGGCATACTTTAACAAACTGTCTATGTCTCTCTCGTCGTTGTGTACATTCCTCTCTGTGGTCTATGCTGTATCAGTCCAGAGATCTGTATATAATAATATAAGAATATATAATAATAATAATAATAAAATGACGAATAAAATTCCTCTCTAATGTGGTCTATGCTGTATCAGTCCAGAGATCTGTATATAATATAATAATAATAATAATAATAATAATAATAATACCGTATTTTCCGGAGTATAAGCCGCAGCAGCTAAATTGAATGATATTGAATGATGTGTACATATATAAGCCGCACTGGACTATAAGCCGCAGGTGTTTTAATGTTTAATTACCATATGTAAGGGTTCATGCACAGAGGGGATTGTCGGGAAAGAGACAAACTGTCTCGCTCTCGTAATGTCTGTCTGTCTTGCTCTCGTTCTGTCTCTCGTTCTGTCTCTCGTACCACTCTCGGTTCCACTTTTACTTTTGCGCGCTACCTGTCTCACTCTTTTCCGGCCTCCAGCTTTTCCTGCTGGAGCCCGCCGCTTAAAGGTGGGGGGCGCGGACCGGTCATAGAGCCCATAGAGTTAAAGTTGGTGGACTGTAACCTGTAAAATCCATAGATTTAGGAGGTCTTCTAGTGGCCGTTAGCTGTAAAAATCCATAGATTAGCCGCACCGTTATATAAGCCGCAGGGTCGAAAAATTGGAAAAAAGGCGCGGCTTATAGTCCGAAAATTACGGTAATAATATAATGACGAGATGCTCATGTCTCTGCCCTAACAATTGGAGTTGTTGTCTCAAAGGCGGGAAGGCAGGCGACAAGCTTCGGTCCAGAGTTGTCAAGGGTGAAACCTCTCGCTTCGCCTCTTCCTCTCTGATCCGGAAAAAACTGGCCCAATGGATTATGGTCATTGTAGTTAATTGCCATGTTTCTGCACGGAACTAGGTTGAATATTGCCTTAATGAAAACTACAACTCCCTTCAGCCCAGCATCCCACAAACTCAGCAAAAAAAGAAACGTCCCTTTTTCAGGACCCAGTCTTAATTTGTAAAAATCAAAATAACTGCACAGATCTTCATTGTAAAGGGTTTCCCATGCTTGTTCAATGAACCATAAACAATTAATGAACATGCACCTATGGAACGGTCGTTAAGACACTAACAGCTTAGACGGTAGGCAATTAAGGTCACAGTTACAGTGGGGGAAAAAAGTATTTAGTCAGCCACCAATTGTGCAAGTTCTCCCACTTAAAAAGATGAGAGGCCTGTAATTTTCATCATAGGTACACGTCAACTATGACAGACAAATTGAGAAAAAAATCCAGAAAATCACATTGTAGGATTTTTTATGAATTTATTTGCAAATGATGGTGGAAAATAAGTATTTGGTCACCTACAAACAAGCAAGATTTCTGGCTCTCACAGACCTGTAACTTATTCTTTAAGAGGCTCCTCTGTCCTCCACTCGTTACCTGTATTAATGGCACCTGTTTGAACTTGTTATCAGTATAAAAGACACCTGTGGTTGTGGACCTCAAACAGTCACACTCCAAACTCCACTATGGCCAAGACCAAAGAGCTGTCAAAGGACACCAGAAACAAAATTGTAGACCTGCACCAGGCTGGGAAGACTGAATCTGCAATAGGTAAGCAGCTTGGTTTGAAGAAATCAACTGTGGGAGCAATTATTAGGAAATGGAAGACATACAAGACCACTGATAATCTCCCTCGATCTGGGGCTCCACGCAAGATCTCACCCCGTGGGGTCAAAATGATCACAAGAACGGTGAGCAAAAATCCCAGAACCACACGGGGGGACCTAGTGAATGACCTGCAGAGAGCTGGGACCAAAGTAACAAAGTCTACCATCAGTAACACACTACGCCGCCAGGGACTCAAATCCTGCAGTGCCAGACGTGTCCCACTGCTTAAGCCAGTACATGTCCAGGCCCGTCTGAAGTTTGCTAGAGTGCATTTGGATGATCCAGAAGAGGATTGGGAGAATGTCATATGGTCAGATGAAACCAAAATAGAACTTTTTGGTAAAAACTCAACTCGTCGTGTTTGGAGGACAAAGAATGCTGAGTTGCATCCAAAGAACACCATACCTACTGTGAAGCATGGGGGTGGAAACATCATGCTTTGGGGCTGTTTTTCTGCAAAGGGACCAGGACGACTGATCCGTGTAAAGGAAAGAATGAATGGGGCCATGTATCATGAGATTTTGAGTGAAAACCTCCTTCCATCAGCAAGGGCATTGAAGATGAAACGTGGCTGGGTCTTTCAGCATGACAATGATCCCAAACACACCGCCCGGGTAACGAAGGAAGCATTTCAAGGTCCTGGAGTGGCCTAGCCAGTCTCCAGATCTCAACCCCATAGAAAATCTTTGGAGGGAGTTGAAAGTCTGTGTTGCCCAGCGACAGCCCCAAAACATCACTGCTCTAGAGGAGATCTGCATGGAGGAATGGGCCAAAATACCAGCAACAGTGTTTGAAAACCTTGTGAAGACTTATAGAAAACGTTTGACCTGTGTCATAGCCAACAAAGGGTATATAACAAAGTATTGAGAAACTTTTGTTATTGACCAAATACTTATTTTCCACCATAATTTGCAAATAAATTCATTAAAAATCCTACAATGTGATTTTCTGGATTTTTAAAAATCATTTTGTCTGTCATAGTTGACGTGTACCTATGATGAAAATTACAGGCCTCTCTCATCTTTTTAAGTGGGAGAACATGCACAATTGGTGGCTGACTAAATACTTTTTTTCCCCACTGTATAAGCTGGAAGTAGAAGCCTAAGTGTTGTTCATTAGTTTACTTCAATTAGGGGAGGAGTGGTAGGGTTAGGGGAAAATAATAAAGAAGGAAAATGAATTAAAAATATATATTTTTAAAAATATATGGGGGATTGGAAATGATGCAGACAATTATCTGCAATATTAAAGCTATATATTCTACCCCCTAAAAAAAAAACATACTGAACAAAAATATAAACACAACATGGAAGGCGTTGTTCCCATGTTTCATGAGCTGAAATAAAAGATCCCAGAAATGTTCCATACGCACAAAAAGCTTATTTCTCTCAAATGTTGCACAAATTTGTTTACATCCCTGTTAGTGAGCATTTCTCCTTTGCCAAGGTAATTCATCCACCTGACAGGTGTGGCATATCAAGAAGCTGATTAAATAGCATTATCATTACACAGGTGCACCTTGTGCTGGGGACAATAAAAGGCCACTCTAAAATGTGCAGTTTTGTCACACAACACAATGCCACAGATGTCTCCAGTTTTGAGGGAGCATGCAATTGCCATGCTGACTGCAGGAATGTCCACCAGAGCTGTTGCCAGAGATTTTAATGTTCATTTCTCTACTATAAGCCGCCTCCAACGTAGTTTTATAGTATTTGCCAATACATCCAAACAGCCTCACAACCGTAGACCACGTGTAACCATGCAAGCGCAGGACCTCCACATCCGGCTTCTTCACTTGCAGAATCGTTTGAGACCAGCCACCCGGATAGCTAATGAAGCTGAGGAGTATTTTTTTATTATTTTTTTACCCCCTTTTTCTCCCCAATTTCGATCTTGTCTCATCGCTGCAACTCCCCAACGGGCTCGGGAGGCGAAGGTTGAGTCATGTGTCCTCCGAAACATGACCCACCAAACCGTGCTTCTTAACACCCACCCGCTTAACCCGGAAACCAGCCGCACCAATGTGTCGGAGGAAACACCGTTCACCTGACGACCGAGATCAGCCTGCAGGCGCCCGACCCACCACAAGGAGTCGCTAGAGCGCGTTGAGCCAAGTAAAGCCCCCCCGGCCAAACCCTCCCCTAACTCGGACGGCGCTGGGCCAATTGTGTGCCACCCTGTGGGACTCCCGATCACGGCCGGTTATGATACAGCCCGGGATCAAACCCGGGTCTGTAGTGACGCCTCTAGCACTGCGATGCAGTGCCTTAGACCGCTGTGCCACTCGGGAGGCCCACTGAGGAGTATTTATGTCTGTAATAAAGCCCTTTTGTGGGGCAAAACTCATTCTGATTGGCTGGGCCATGGCTGCGCCCCTGCCCAGTCATGTGAAATCCATAGAATAGGGCCTAATGAATTCATTTCAATTTACTGATTTCCTTATATGAACTGTAACGCCGTAAAATCGGTGAAATTGTTGCATGTTGCGTTCATATTTTTGGAAATTTATTAAAATTAAAAATAAAGATCTTATTTACATAAGTATTCAGATTCGTCGCGAAATTGAGCTCAGGTGCATCCTGTTTCCATTGATCATCCTTGAGATGTGGTAAATTCAATTGATTGGACATGATTTGGAAAGGCACACACCTGTCTATATAAGGTCCCACAGTTGACAGTGCAAGTCAGAGCAAAAACCAAGCCATGAGGTTGAAAGAATTGTCCATAGAGCTCTTGTGTTGAGGCACAGATCTGGGGAAGGGTACCAAAAAATGTCTGCAGCATTGAAGGTCCCCAAGAACACAGTGGCCTCCATCATTCTTAAATGGAAGAAGTTTGGAACCACCAAGACTTTTCCTAGAGCTGGCCGCCCGGCCAAACTGAGCAATCGGGGGAGAAGGGCCTTGGTCAGGGAGGTGACCAAGAACCCGATGGTCACTCTGACAGAGCTCCAGAGTTCCTCTGTGGAGATGGGAGAACCTTCCAGAAGGACAACCATCTCTGCAGCACTCCACCAATCAGGCCATTATGGTGGAGTGGCCAGACGGAAGCCACTCCTCAGTTAAAGGCATATGACAGCCCGCTTGGAGTTTGCCAAAAGGACTCCGACCATGAGAAACAAGATTCTCTGGTCTGATTAACCAAGATTGAATTATTTGGCCTGAATACCAAGCGTCATGTCTTGAGGAAACCTGGCATCAGCCCTAAGGTGAAGCATGGTGGTGGCAGCATCATGCTGTGGCAATGTTTTTCAGCGGCAGTGACTTGGAGACTAGTCAGGATTAAGGGAAAGGTGAACGGAGCAAAGTACAGAGAGATCCTTGCTGAAAACCTTCTCCAGAGCGCTCAGGACCTCCGACTGGGACAAAGTTTCACCTTCTAGCAGAACAACACCTCTAAGCACACAGCCAAGACAACGCAGGGGTGGCTTCGGGACAAGTCTCTGCATGTCCTTGAGTGGCCCAGCCAGATCCTGGACTTGAACCCGATCGAACATCTCTGGAGATACCTGAAAATAGCTATGCCGCGACGCTCCCCATCCAACTTGACAGAGCTTCAGAGGATCTGCAGAGAAGAATGGGAGAAACTCCCCAAATACAGGGGTGCCAAGCATGTGGCGTTATACCCAAGAAGACGCGAGGCTGTAATCGCTGCCAAAAGTGCTTCACCAAAGTACTGAGTAAAGGGTCTGAATACTTATGTAAATGTGATATTCCGTTTTTTTTATTTTACATACATTTTCAAAAAAATCTTAACCTGTTTTTGCTTTGTCATTATGGGGTATTGTGTGTAGATTGACGAGGAGAAAGATAAAATAATCGATGGCTGTAACGTCACAAAATGTGGAAAAGGTTGAGGAGTCTGAATACTTTCCGAATGCACTGTGTGTGTGTGTGTGTGTGTGTGTGTGTGTGTGTGTGTATATATACAGTACCAGTCAAAACTTTGGACACCTACTCATTCCTGGGTTTTTCTTAATTTTTTCTATTTTCTACATTGTAGAATAATAGTGAAGAAATCAAAACTATGAAATAACACATGGAATCATGTAGTAACCAAAAAAGTGTTAAAGAAATCAAAATACATTTTATATTTGAGATTCTTAAAAGTAGCCACCCATTGCCTTGATGACAGCTTTGCACACTCTTGGCATTCTCTCAACCAGCTTCATGAGGTAGTCACTTGGAATGCATTTCAATTAACAGGTGTGCCTTGTTAAAAGTTAATTTGTGGAATTTCTTTCCATCTTAATGCGTTTGAGCCAATCAGTTGTCTTGTGACAAGGTAGGGGTGGTATACAGAAGATAGCCCTATTTGGAAAAAGTCCATATTATGGCAAGAACAACTTAAATAAGCAAAGAGAAACAACAGTCCATCATTACGTTAAGACATGAAGGTCAGTCAATCCGGAGTGCAGTCGCAAAAACCATCAAGCGCTGTGATGAAACTGGCTCTCATGAGGACCGCCACAGGAAAGGAAGACCCAGAGTTACCTCTGCTGCAGAGGATAAGTTCATTAGAGTTACCAGCCTCAGAAATTGCTTCACAGAGTTCAAGTAACAGACACATCTCAACATCAACTGTTCAGAGGAGAATGCATCAGGCCTTCATGGTCGAATTGCTGCAAAGAAACCACTACTAAAGGACACCAAAAAGAAGAAGAGACCTGCTTGGACCAAGAAACACGAGCAATGGACATTAGACCGGTGGAAATCTGTCCTTTGGTCTGATGAGTCCAAATTTGAGATTTTTGTTTCCAACCGCCGTGTCTTTGTGAGATGCAGAGTAGGTGAACGGATGATCTCCGCATGTGTGGTTCCCACCATGAAGCATGAAGGCGAAGATGTGATGGTGTAGGGGTGCTTTGCTGCTGACACTGTCAGTGATTTATTTAGAATTCAAGGCACACTTAACCAGCATGGCTACCACAGCATTCTGCAGCGATACGCCATCCCATCTGGTTTGCGCTTAGTGGGACTATCATTTGTTTTTCAACAGGACAATGACCCAACACACCTCCAGGCTGACCAAGAAGGAAAGTAATGGCGTGCTGCATCAGATGATCTGGCCTCCACAGTCCCCCAACCTCAACCCAATTGAGATGGTTTGGGATGAGTCGGACCGCAGAGTGAAGGAAATGCAGCAAACGAGTGCTCAGCATATGTGGGAACTCCTTTAAGACTGTTGGAAAAGCATTCCAGGTGAAGCTGGTTGAGAGAATGCCAAGAGTGTGCAAAGCTGTCATCAAGGCAAAGGGTGGCTACTTGGAAGAATCCAAAACCTAAAATATATTTTGATTTGTTTAACACTTTTTTTGGTTACTACATGATTCCATATGTTATTTCATAGTTTTGATGTCTTCACTATTATTCTACAATGTAGAAAATAGTAAAAATAAAGAAAACCCCTTGAATGAGTAGATGTGTCCAAACTTCTGACTGGTACTGTAAATACTTGCACGCACATATGCACACACACTGATTATTTCTGTATATGCAGCTCCCATAAGGCTCCCTGCTATAACCTCTCCTCTCCTCTTGTTTGTCCCGTTAGAACGGCATCATGCAGCACCCAGCCCAAAGTGCCCCTGACTCTGTGCACCCAGGCTGGGCGAGGGGTCACCATCGTCAGCCCCTCCTCCACTTCTCTGGGGGCCATCGTTCCAGGGCCTGACTTCAACAAGCCCCTCCCCATCTGTCCCGGCTCTGCCCCCTCCAGCCCCTTACCTGCTGCCATGGTGTCGGCTGCTCACGTGGCGACCGGACAGGCCAAGGTTCTCATGCACATGACCTCCCAGATGACTGTTAACCAGGCACGCAACGCTGTCAGGACAGGTAGGATCACCTACTAGGGGAATGGAGGTGTGCAAGTATACATTCTATGTTTGCCTGAGGGTGGGATAGTGTATTTGATTGTGAAAGTATGTGTGTATGATCTAAACCTGTGCCTCTCCTCTGGCCCTAGCAGCCTGCAACAGTCAGGACAGGCCCACCGCTGCTGTGACACCCATCCAGTCCCAGAACTCTGTAGCCTTTCTGCCCCACCTGGCTATGTGCCAGTCCCAGCCCCCCTCCTCCAACCCTGCCCAGGGCTGTGTCCGTGCCGGTGTGGCACTGAGCTGTGCAGCCGCCTCCCTCACCCCGCCCAACGTCAGTGCCGCCTCGCTGGATCGTGATGCCCTGCGACCAGTGGCGGACCTCACCATGCCCGTCGCCCCAGGCAACGGCAACTCCACGTCAGCTAATTCCTCCCTCGCCTGTCGGCTAGACAAGGACGGCAAGGTGGGCATTCATGATAGCACCCTAGCCATCAGTATTGCTATCAGCAATGTTAGCATATTTCTCATGTTTGCATTTACTTCTATTATGCCTAGCATACTTGACTGGTATTCAACACGTCTCCAGTGGATTGCTAAATTAGATCACATTAGCCTGGAGTGTCTGGTGCTCTTGTTTACTTCAGAGTATTTTGAATACCATGCGCTCTGTATGTTGTTGAACACAGAGGATGTTCCAGTTTATCTTAAGAAACACATTTACTCACAGAGCTCATCTGTTTCACTGGCGAGCCTTAGAGTTAGAGAGAGACTAGAGATGGGAGTCAGTCCAGGCCAGCCAACACAAACAGAACAGGCAGCTGGCAGCAGGCCTGATGACATCATTACAACACTGATTAGTCAGCCAACAGCCTAATGACCAAGACAATGGATTCTGTTTATGCAGATTCTAATGTCCACACAATTAGTTCCTGTAAGACGGTCTATATCCAGCCTACACCATTATCAGACAAGTGCATGGGAGTAGTAGCAACATAATTGACTTTCTTATCGCGCTTTCTCTCTGTTTCGTTCTGCAGAGGGAGAAGAAAGGTCTTCTGAAGCTGTTGTCGTCTAACAAGAAGAAGTCTCGCCCTTCTCCCCCCTCCTCCCCCACCCTGGAGGCAGAGCAGGCTGCTACAGGGGAGGTCTTCCAAAGGGCCATGGGCCCCGACACCACCCCGTCCCCCTTGCTGTCCTCCACCCCCGTTGGCGTGGGTAACCATGGCCGTCCAGTCCCCTTCCCCGTGGAGCCTGAGCCTACTTTAGCCACCCCATACACTTCATCCTCAGCCCCAGAGTTAACACACCGTAAGAGCAGCCCCCTGGACGGCTGTGCCCCCATCGCCCCGCCTCCTCGTCAGGCATGCTCCTCGCTCATCTCCCAGCAGCACGACGCTCGGCCAATCATATGCGAGAGGTACTGCATTTCTTATATCATAGGACAGTGACATGTAGTTATAAAAATGGTCTGTCTGATGATGTGTGATTCTGCTGGATGTGTGTCTGTGTGTAGCGTTTCTGGTCTCCTGTGATTCTGCTGGATGTGTGTGTGTGTCAGTACAGTATCCTCTCTGATCCCGCCCCTCTCCTCCCCAGGTACAGAGTGGTGGAGTCCTACCCCCCTCAGAGTGAGGCAGAGCTGGAGCTGAAGGAGGGAGACATAGTGTTTGTCCACAGGAAGAGAGAGGACGGCTGGTTCAAAGGAACACTCCAGAGGAACGGCAGGACCGGACTGTTTCCTGGCAGCTTCGTAGACATCATCTGACTGACCGTCTGACTCACACTGGACCACAGTGGACCGACCGTGACCTGACCACACCATGAACTGACCATCAATGGAACCACATCAATGGAACCACTTTGTTGTTGCCTTGTTTTAGGGTCAAACTGCGAGCCAACCAGATCAGGTTGCTAGGGACAGTAACATCAGATGGATACATACACAACCTTAGAAGAGGTCTTCAAAGCACAGAGGAGGAGAATGATGAAATAGTTTCGACAGAGGAGAGGAGATGACTGGAGGACAAGCACACTACTCATGTTGATTTTCTTTTTGTCAGTTATTTATATCTGTAACAATTCAAAACGTTAAATGTGTGCATTGTACTGTTCCTCACTTTATTATATGTAAGAAACCATATGAACTGTTAATAGATGGAAATATGACATTGTAACTTATTTTTTAGTTTTAGTTTTCTGGAAATATGCGCTTGGCCTTTCGTTGTGTTTAGGGTTTCAGTTGGCGCCTGCCTTATGACACATTTCCTACATCACTTTGTGCTCGTCTCTTATTGGCTCCGGTGTTGTATGTTAGTACTGCACTGCGTCTCCAATGATTGGCTGTTAAGAGCAAACAAACAATACAGCAAATTGGAGGAGAATGAGTGATGTCATCATCAGCACATACAGTGTAGCAAGAAAAGGGGTAGAGGTGGGCCCAATTCCAATCTGATCTCTTGAGCCTATTCTTCTATTGACTGGAAGGCATCAGCTAAATGGCAGTAGCTCCATACCCTCTGGTTGGGTAGTTTGAGTTTCTGACTTACTGCAAACACTTAGTCTTCTAGTCATTTGAGATCCATGAGAGGCAAAGGACTTCTTTGGAATTGGGCTCTGGACCTCTCTCCAACAATGGAATTTGCACAACCTCTTCCTGTATCCCTTGGACCCTTGGTGCCCCAAACTGGGTTCTCCTTGGGCTCCAGTACCCCTTAATTGGAGAGCGAGACATCTTGGTAAAATTAGTCTGCTGTTGATGCTCTGATGAAGGGCGAGGTTATCAAAACGTTCCCTTAAAGTTAGGAAAACAGTCTGCTGTTGATGTACATTATTAGGTACTGGGAGAAGGATTTTATGTTCTTGCCTTTATTGATGTGTTAAAACTAAGAAACACTCCATAGATCTTGCAATCAAATGTTACTTACTGTATATTCTTCCATGTGTACTTATTGAACATCGTAGCTGCTCCCCCACTCCCCTAAGTAGACTAACATTATCGGACATAGCTCTAGATCTCAAGTGAGCGACAGACATCACATACTGTACAGTAAACGTGCTACGACTCTGATAGCTACATTTTAATAATATATTGATATTTATATCCACATGGATCTATACAACACCAGATGCTCTGGACCGTGTCTCCTACAGCATGGAGATGCAGCAAGACATCTGACAGAACTGATCTATGTGTGACCTTCAGAGGTTCTCAACCCTCATTTCAATTATTCATTCGTTCCTAACGGGTCTTTTCTCTACAAGACAAAACACTGCTTACTTATAAAGCATAGACTGTTTTCCTAATGTAACATATCATTGATATCGCTCATCCAATACAAGCTAGTGTATTTCTCCTTGAAGTTGCGAGATTAGGTTTTTTAATACCGATCCATTACTTGGACCCCGTTGATTCTTGGTTTTAAGCTGTACAGTGCATCTATACAATGTGTCTGATGTTAAGTGTTCTATAGACTTGAATATAATTTGTGTGTGGTTGGTTAGATGGGGTTTTGGTACCAGTTTTGTTTTCTGTTTGTTTCAAAGCACAAAAAAGAGTACGGTGTGATTTGAGTGGGTTTAGAGGATGTGAAACCTCAGAGCCTTGGCTCCTACTTATTTTCAACTCCTTTCATTTCAAAATAATCCAGTGGGGGCGAAATGGCGCTCTTAACTCTCCCTCCCCCTCGTCCTCCTCCCTGGGCCTTCAGTCATGGTAATGAGATTGACAGCACTGCTAGTAACGAAGACAGAAAAATCAGGCGCACATAATGAGCCATTGATTTGATCCAATCTCATATTTGTTTGCAGTGGAGAACAGTTTAAATTGGATTATATTAGTCAATGATGGACAGTAAGTGGCTGTTCTATTGTTAGTGTGCTGTGAGGGATGTCTGCCTACCTTCACTATAGCACACCAGGTAGACACCAAGAGGCTGACGTCCTGGGTTTCTTCCTGCTGCAGCCTCTCCTATCAGATGCTGTGGTGCAGTATCAACAGCTAATGCTTCTGTTTAAATGACAGATTTGATCTTTAGGCACTAATCCACCCCTACAAGAGGTTTGCTCTTAGCAAGTGGGTATCAACTGCAGTAAATCTGAAGGGATTTGGGGGGTCAAATTAAACATTTAAAGGTTGAGGACATTCTAAACACCAGATGGTGCTACATTTTGGACCTGAGGGGAATGTAAGTGACTGAATTTTTCTGACATTTTCCAAAGCGCGTTTGTTTGAGTGGGTGTTTGTGTCAGGCAGAGTAACGGGGACCACTGTGTGACTGACTTCTGAATATGTTGATGTTGTTTTGAGTGGTGGGTGGAGGCTGTATAAAGTGGTACGAAACACTGTTCAGACCTGTTTGCTTCTCAATTTTCTTGTGTAGAATTAACCTAATGTTCCACTGTTGTCTTGGCATTCACCATCTCCACCTCACCTCTAGTGCTGAACTGGGTTTTGCTTACTGATGAGCCTTTTTTTCAAACACACACCATACATTTACACTTACTGTACCATCAGTATATACCGTAGTCATTTTAGTCATATTTATTTTCATATCTATAGTTGGATGATCAAATAATGCTAATTTTCTTTACATTCTCTGACTGTCAAGAACAACCGAACCAGTTAGCTTCGGTGTTCCTGTGAACATGTTTTTGCTGTAATCTCATGCCTTGTTGGAACACAAGGTAGCACTAAAGTTAGCTTTATTAAACTAAACAGATTCTCCTTATGGAAAGGTGACCTTACTTGATTTTTTTCGGTTATAGTTATTTTTATATAGTTAAGTCTGATCATGGAGAAATTAGCATCCACTTGTTATTTGGCAAAATACTATGTGCAAAACATTCTTAAGTATCGAAGGGAATAGCACATTTTGTAAACATGACTATAACAATAAAAGCTAATGGTTTCCATGGTTTTGTCAGTCTGTGTTTTCGCCCTTGTGTTTAGATGGTCTCTTCCTGCCAGTGTAGAGCTGTCTGAAAACATTACCACCAATATGAGGGACTGGAGACATGACAGCAAAGTCACCTCTTTTCCCCTCTCTCTCACATCCATCCCCTCCTACTCTGCAGGGCCTGCTTAAGATTGTGTGTGTGTGCAATGTGCCAGTTGGTCTGTCTAAGCATGTGCCTTTGGAAAGTATTCAGCCTTATTCTAAAATTAATTAAATTGTTTTTTCCCCCTCATCAATCTACACACAATACCCCATAATGACAAAGCAAAAACAGGTTTTTAGACATTTTTGCAAATGTATTACAAATAAAAAACTATCACATTTACGTAAGTATTCAGACCCTTTACTCTGTACTTTGTTACAAACAAAAAAAGGAAATATCACATTTACGTAAGTATTCAGACCCTTTACTCTGTACTTTGTTACAAACAAAAAAAGGAAATATCACATTTACGTAAGTATTCAGACCCTTTACTCAGTACTTTGTTGAAGCACCTTTGGCAGCGATTGCAGCATCGAGTCTTCTTGGGTATTACACTACAAGCTTGTCACACCTGTATTTGGGGAGTTTCTCCCATTCTTCTCTGCAGATCCTCTCAAGCTCTGTCAGGTTGGATGGGGAGCGTTGCTGCACAGCTATTTTCAGGTCTCTCCTGAGATGTTCGATCGGGTTCAAGTCCGGGCTCCAGATGGGCCACTCAAGGACATTCAGAGACTTGTCCCAAAGCCATTCCTGCATTGTCTTGGCTGTGTGCTTAGGGTTGTTGTCTGTTGGAAGGTGAACCTTCACCCCAGTCTGAGGTCCTGAGTGCTCTGGAGTAGGTTTTCATCAAGGATTTCTCTGTACTGCTCTGTTCATCTTTTCCCTCGATCCTGACTAGTCTCCCAGTCTGCCACTGAAAAACATCCCTACAGCATGATGCTGCCACCACCATGCTTCACCGTAGGGAAGGTGCCAGGTTTCCTGATCAATGGAAACAGGATGCACCTGAGCTAAATTTTGAGTCTCATAGAGATCTCTGGAGAGACCTGAAAATAGCTGTGCAGCGATGCTCCCAATCCAACCTGACAGAGCTTGAGAGGATCTGCAGAGAAGAATGGGAGGAACTCCCCAAATACAGGTGTGCCAAAATTGTACCGTCATACCCAAGAAGACTCAAGGCTGTAATCAAATTTCTTGTTAACAAACTATAGTTTTGGCAAGTCGGTTAGTCGGCTACTTTGTGCATGACACAAGTAATTTTTCCAACAATTGTTTACAGACAGATTATTTCACTTATAATTCACTGTATCACAATTCCAGTGGTTCAGAAGTTTACATACACTAAGTTGACTGTACCTTTAAACAGCTTGGAAAATTCCAGAAAATGATGTCATGGCTTTAGAAGCTTCTGATAGGCTAATTGACATCATTTGAGTCAATTGGAGGTGTACCTGTGGATGTATTTCAAGGCCAAACTCAGTTCCTCTTGCTTGACATCATGGGAAAATGAAAAGAAATCAGCCAAGACCTCACTATTCTGGTTCATCCTTGGGAGCAAATTCCAAATGCCTGAAGGTACCACGTTCTTCTGTACAAACAAAAGTACGCAAGTATAAACACCATGGGACCACGCAGCCGTCATACCGCTCAAGAAGGAGACGCGTTCTGTCTCCTAGAGATGAAAGTACTTTGGTGCAAAAAGTGCAAATCAATCCCAGAAAAACACCAAAAGACTTTGTGAAGATGCTGGAGGAAACAGGTACAAAAGTATCTATATCCACAGTAAAACGAGTCCTATATCGACATAACCTGAAAGGCCGCTCAGCAAGGAAGTAGCCACTGCTCCAAAACCGCCATAAAAAAGCCAGACTACGGTTTGCAACTGCACATTGGGACTAAGATCGTACTTTTTGGAGAAATGTCCTCTGGTCTGATGAAACAAAAATAGGTCATAATGACCATCGTTATGTTTGGAGGAAAAAGGGGGCTGCTTGCAAGCTGAAGAACACCATCCCAACCGTGAAGCACGGTGTGGCAGCATCATGCTGTGGGGGTGCTTTGCTGCAGGAGGGACTGGTGCACTTCACAAAATAGATTGCATCATGAGGAAGGAAAATTATGTGGATATATTGAAGCAACATCTCAAGACATCAGTCAGGAAGTTAAAGCTTGGTTGCAAATGGGTCTTCCAAATGGACAATGACCCCAAGCATACTTCCAAAGTTGTGGCAAAATGGCTTAAGGACAACAAAGTCAAGGTATTGGAGTGGCCATCACAAAGCCCTGACCTCAATCCTATAGAAAATGTGAGAGCAAGGAGGCCTACAAACCTGACTCAGTTACACCAGCTCTGTCAGGAGGAATGGGCCAAAATTCACCCAACTTATTGTGGGAAGCTTGTGGAGGACAACCCGAAACGTTTGACCCAAGTTAAACAATTTAAAGGCAATGCTATCAAATACTAATTGAGTGTATGTAAACTTCTGACCCACTGGGAATGTGATGAAATAAATAAAAGCTGAAATAAATCATTCTCTCTACTATTATTCTGATATTTCACATTCTTAAAATAAAGTGGTGATCCTAACTGACATAGAACAGGGAATTTTTACTAGGATTAAATGTCAGGAATTGTGAAAAACAGAGTTTAAATGTATTTGGCTAAGGTGTATGTAAACTTCCGACTTCAACTGGAACAATGCATACCTTTATTACCAGGAGAAAAGCTCCTTGCTGTGTGTCTGCTTTTCCCACAGTGCAATAAACTCTACAGTGGTGCTCTGTGAGGTAGGTGAATCATGCAGTCTCCTGTCTGTGTGTGCAATGATGCTGAGCTGGATAATGTCTAAAGGAGCTGACATGGTCTTTGTGAGGTCACACTGGTATGCTTCATCCAGATGATGGGTTGCCATGGAGATCGGTTATTCCAGTTTGTGAGCATGACTGTGGTGGACAGAAGGGGGATACAGGGACAAGGAGTTGGATATTGAAATAAAGAGAATTGTGTGTTTTTCCACCGCTTGCTTTTCATCTGACTTGGCTCAGTTGGCTGCTCTTTTCCCCCTCTCTCCCTCTCTCCTGTCAACACTGAGACTGTGTCTGGTTCAGTTTGCTCTCTGGTATCTAATGGTTTCAGGTACTGTAACAGATTAATGAGGTGTCTGCTTAATCAATGAGCCTTGCTCTGGCATGACAGGGCCTTCCTGCTGGAGAAGGAGGGAATCATTATCTCTACTACAAACAGTGTAAATGTGTGTTTGTGTACAGTACATGTTGGTGAGGAGGTGGGGGCAGGTAGGTCTATTAGATACGCTATATATGACTGAGTGAGGCAGTGTAAATATCTGTAGATGTGACCAAGTGATAAAGTGTTTATGGATTGATAGAAGGACAGACTCTGGAGCATACCGTTAATATTCATGTGTGTATGCAAGAAGAAATAGAGAACATTTATCTAAGTGTGTGTGTGTGTGTGCGTGCGTTGCGTGCGCGTGTGTGTATACTGTATATATGGTGAGGAAGAGAGCAGAAAGCGTTTGTCTGTGTCGGCAGGCGTCATTAGACCACAGGAGTGTGAAGGAGGAAAATGAGGTCATGATGTTTAGGATGATGATCTGAATACAAATTAAGCCTTGTGTCACACGCACACACACAGCACGTAAACTGTCTCTCCATACAATGCATAATACATTTCAGTCAACCCCTAAAAACTACACCAAATGTTGCTCAACAGTTTTTGTTGTTTTATTTTCTTACAACATCCCCTGTGTTTTTCCATCTGAGGGTGTAGCTCATAAGACGGGGGTCAAACATCAGCTTGGGACCAAGTCACTGAGGACAGAAAATCAATCCTGAAGAACTTCCAAATGTTTGAAACCGTCCAGCTGTGTTTGACCATTGTTTTTCACTGGTGACATTGAGCCGGGCTTCTGGACCTTGGGTCAGAGGGAGGGCCAGACGGAGACAACCTCCAGTATCTTACGGGTCCAAAGAGAAACGTAGGATAAAATGTTAGTGTTATGTAAAGATTAGGGTACTGGTTGGGGTTGAGGGATGTGGACATGAAGCTAGAGTTAGGGTTAGGGTTGAGGTTAGGGGTGGGGTTGAACCGGATGTGGACATTAAACTAGGGTTAGGGTTAGGTAGCCTCGTCGCGAACCAGGCTTGACAACGACTTGATTTTGGAGGTATGGCAATGAGAGACTAGGGTTAGGGTTGTGGTTGAGGCTAGAGTTAGGCTTGAACTGGGATGTTGACATGAAGCTAGGGTTAGGGTAAGGGCTGACCTAGCCTATGTTTAACCCCTAGCTCAATCCTAACCCTAACCTAGATTTCATCGTCATTTCTAAACTGTGGACAGGCTCTGATGTGGTATGTTTCAAACGTCTGTGGGTCCAGCTACCCGTGAGGGGCCACTGGCACTAGCTGTGAGATTTATGTGCGTGTCTCTTCTTCCCCCATGTGGTTGAATTAATAAACACATGAAGAAAAAATGGCGACCTCCATGTGTGTACTGTGTCAATGATCAACTAACGTTTACTCACGTTATTGTCAAAGGACATGGATTGTCAAACGATAATAATTATATAGAGAGAAATGCCAAATTGTTATCCATCTTAAACGACAACAGCGTTGCGTGAAAACATGAGTTTTCCCCAAAAACACTTTCAAATGATCTTGGTAGCATAGCTAGCTGTTAGATCATCTACACCAGGGTTGTCAAACTCATTCCATGGAGGGCCTAGCGTCTGCTATTTTTGATATTTTGCCTTTCAATTAAGACTTAGACAACCAGGTGAGGGGAGTTCCTTACTAATCAGTGACCTTAATTCATCAATCAATCCAGGCTCTGTCGTAGCCGTCCGCGACCGGGAGACCCATGGGGCGGCGCGCAATTGGCCCAGCGTCGTCCAGGGTAGGGGAGGGAATGGCCGGCAGGGATGTAGCTCAGTTGATAGAGCATGGCGTTTGCAACGCCAGGGTTGTGGGTTCGATTCCCACAGGGGGAAAAAAATAATGTATGCACTAACTGTAAGTCGCTCTGGATAAGAGCGTCTGCTAAATGACTAAAATGTAAATTTAAATATCAAGGCTGCTGGCAGAGAGAGGCTGCAGGGTTGTTGTGGTGTCCAGGAACCAGGATGCTGCTCAGGCCACTGTGGTGTCCCTCGATGGAGGTACGGTATAATACCTGCAGGGGTGTCATGCACCTGTTTGTTGGGCTCTTCTGTTCACATTTTCAAAACAAGATGATGAGCCTAGTGCCACACTGACTACTGTTGTTTATTAAATACAGCTGTAATTGTCTGTTTACCTAATGCTAAACCAATCTCTCATGTTCTAGCTGGCTTTAGTTGTGACATCTCCAAAGGAAAGGAAGTGCAGAAGACGTTTGAGATTATCCAGAAGACCTGTGGAAACATCTCATACCTGGTCAATGCAGCTGGCTCAACAGGTGTGTGTGTGACTGTGAATGAATCAGTACTCGTATGAATCTGTACTCGTACAGGTGTACAGGTTAGTTTCATACCTTCAGGACTCCCATGACAGTCTTAAGCAGGTGAGCTTGCATGTGTATAAAATAATTTTAAAAAATAACTCCTCCATCTCCTGTGTGTATGTATGCACCTCCCTGTCTGTGTGTGTTCAGGGGATGGTCTGTTGCTGAGGACCAGGCCAGAAGACATGGTGGCTATGCTTCATACCGACCTACTGGGGAGCATGTTGACCTGCAAGGCAGCGCTATGGAGCATGCTCCACACCCAGGGAGGGGCCATTGTCAACATAAGTACTGTTACTGTATGTACAGCCTCTTCTCATTATTGAGATACCAGATGCCTTCAATGTTGCAGTTTGGCCACAAGGTGGTGGTTGTGGTCCAGGTAATAAACCTAATTTCCCACTTCATTTTACCTTGCGTTAACCCAATTAATGTGTTCATGGTTGTGATCTGTGGTGGGGTTGAAGGGGAACGCAGGTCAGTGTGTGTACAGTGACAGTAAAACAGGTCTGGAGGGCTTCACTCGCTCCCTGGCCAAGGAGGTGGCCTCACGCAACGTCAGGGTTAACTTGCTGGCTCCAGGTAGGGAACTGTCTCTTCCTCCTTTCTTTACAGCTCCTCTCTTTCATCTGTCTGCTTATTCACCTCAACTCCTAGCCCTTGTCCTAGCCTTTGTCCTAGTTTGTTTATGATTTTGTAATCTCCGTCATTGGCGTGCTAAAATAGAAACAGACTTGTACTGCACCTAGCATATTGGTTTCCACTGTCCTCTCAGCTCGAATTCAGTTCTCTCCTGATCCTGTCCCTCCCTTCTCTTCTCTTCGCTAGGTTTCATCCTGACAGACATGACAGCGGGGCTGGGAGCCTGAAGAGGTGGCCCAGCCACAAAACTTCTGGGTAGTAAAGAGATTCTCTCAGCCTCTCTCTCTCTCAGATGAGAATTACAATGGAGAGTTCGCTGTTGTGTATGCCAGTATGTGTGTGTGTTCACACTGAAGATGAGCTGGGTTCATGCATAGGAACGTGACAAATATTTGCCTTTTAATCCGTTTTTTATCTACTCAAGCTCATGTCTTTTCAACAGATTTTGGAGTGTACTTTTTAATAATAATAATAATAAGCCATTTAGCAGACGCTTTTATCCAAAGTGACTTACAGTCATGCGTACATACATTTGGGTGGTCCCGGGGATCGAACCCACTACCCTGGCGTTACAAGCGCCGTGCTCTACCAGCTGACCTACAGGCTCTTGCCTTTGAATGTGAGGAAATTAGTGCTGAGCAACATAAAAAAAAAAATGAAACAACTAATTGACCGACGTGTGAGCCCAAACCTCTGTTTCTCTAGAGAGAAATCAAATCATTCACTCGAGAAATCAAGTCAAGAGCTATGTGGGAGGCTGGGCTGAAGGGAGTTGTAGGTTTCATTAAGCAAATATTCAACGTAGTTCAGCGCAGAAATGTGGTAATTAACTACAATGACCATAATCCATTTCACCTGTTCTTTCCGGCTCGGATAGAGACGGATATACTTTTACGCCTGCTACTGCAGTTAGGTTAGATGCACACAGACCGCACGAGAGAGGAATATGCACAACGATGAGAGGGATAGAGGCAGTTTGTCAAAGTATGCCTTATCTACTTTGAAGAACTAGTTAAATTATTTAATCAGACAGCTCTGCAGCATACTTTGGCAGACTAGCCTAGCTAAATAGGATGACTAAAGACAGTACAGTATGGGGAGCACAGAGATAATGTTAGATGGTTGTCTGGCTGGCTGGCTGCTACTGCCTGAGATGAGAGGAATGAAAAAGAATAGTCATCAAATAGAAAGTAATATACACAACTTAAATATTTTATTATTTCATAGTAATTTCCTATTTTTCTATTGTGGACCTGACAGAGACAATGGAATATTTTCAATGTTTTGGCAATTGAATGTTCACTATTTTTGGCTTTGGAATTTCCATCAAAAAGCTCTAAAATAATTTGAATGTCACTATTCATAATGCATGTAATGTTTTTTTTTTTAATAATCAAAATCGCTCAGCACTAGAGGCAATGCACTACAGGTATTGATATTCAGGCTGTATTGCCTTTGTAAGCTCTGTGGGCTTGACTTTAGAGCCATGGATATACACTGAGTGTACAAAACATTAAGAACACCTTCCTAATATTGAGTTGCAGGCATGGATTCTACAAGGTGTCGAATGCATTTCACAGGGATGCTAGCCCATGTTGTCTCCAATGCTTCCCACAGTTGTGCCAAGTTGGCTGGATGTCCTTTGGGTGGTGGACCATTCTTGATACAACGGGAAACTGTTGAGTGTGAAAACCCCAGCAGCATTGCAGTTCTTGACACAAACCCTGTTCAAAGGCACTTCAATCTTTTGTCTTGCCCATTCACCCTCTGAATGGCACACATACACAATCCATGTCTCCATTGTCTCAAGGCTGTTGTATTTTTGACTTTATGTTTTTTACCCCATATGTAACTCTGTGTTGTTTTTATTGCACTGCTTTGCTTTATCTTGGCCAGGTCGCAGTTGTAAATGAGAACCTGTTCTCAACTGGCTTACCTGGTTAAATAAAGGTGAAATAAAAAAATTAAAAAAAAGGCTTGAAAATTCTTCTTTAACCTGTCTCCTCCCCTTCATCTACACCGATTTGAAGTGGATTTAACAAGTGACATCAATAAGGGATCATAGCTTTCACCTGGATTCACCTGGTAAGTCTATGTCATGGGAAGAGCAGGTGTTCATAATGTTTTGTACACTGTGTATATGTGTGTATAGTTCAGATAATACTGTTGTCCCACTGTACACAGTGCTGAGTCACAGGGTCCTGCTCCAGTCATAGTTCAGAGTGTACGTGTCTTTGTGTGAGTGATAGTCTTTCATGACCAACACTGCTGACTCCACAGTGTCTGACTCAGTCTGGTCCTTCACACCCCTGAGGCCTTAACTTTGATCAGCAGATTTCATGGTGTTACTCTTTCCATGACTTAGGGGCATCCAGTGCTGACCCAAGCTCTCATGTTTCACTCTCCCGCTCCCCTGGGGGAACCCAACAAGGCTGGCGCAGCGCAGGTCCCCACCACCACCACCCCCTGAGCCCAGCAGCCCACCCCTGGAGGGGCCCAGAGAGAGGGGGTCTGCTGCCTCCCTGCCTTGTGCCTACAGCTGGAGGGGATTAGCGGGGTGGGGGGATATTTTTTGGGTTTAGTTACAGCTCAGGACCGGTGGTGCGGATGGATGGGGTCAGAGATGACTGTCATGCTCATTGTAGAGATTTGAAATGTGATCTCATCTGTTATTTCCTCCAGTGGAGAAACATTGTACCTCACTGGAGAGTGCTCCCCAGTCCCCTCACAGAGTGCTCCCCAGTCCCCTCACAGAGTGCTCCCCAGTCCCCTCACAGAGTGCTCCCCAGTCCCCTCACACAGCTGGTGCTTACCAGTCACATACATTTAGGTGCCATTAGAAGCCTTCATGGATCTGGTGCATCTGTGCTCAGCTGCTGTCTGCCATGTGAACTGTAATCATGGTGATGTTATTTAACCTAAGATCAAGGTGGAGACAATGTAAACCTGGGATCAAGGTAATCCAGTAAGCTTTTTCAATAAATAATGGCATTTCCCCTGTAATGGATAATATGGCTGCTGAGTACATTTTGGTATGGAATTGATTTGTGCAGGGTCTCCTTACTCAACATAAACACGGTAACTCCAGACTTTGATTTTTATTATCTTTCAAAAACTAAGATAATATCAGGAGAACATTCCATATACAGGCACAGATTGGCATATAAATCAAAAAGGTGTCCTATATGTTTGTGTGAGTGACCACAGTAATGGCAGGATGAAACATGATCTGAACAGATACAGCAAAAGATGCCCATTTGGTAATACAGTAGTGAGAGAAAATATATAATTACTTATTTCAATACAATTCTGTGCAAATATTCCCCCTTCTAAACAGTTTATAATTGTCAAGAATACTTGTCGTTTGGTATAAGTGCCTCAGAAAAATATGAACAGATATTGTGATTGAAATAGGCCCAAGTGATCTTTTAAGGCAATATATAGTTTCAAAAAGTATGATATTTTAATACAGACAGGATTATGTTTTTTCATTGAACATTTGAGAAAATAAATCACTAATATAATTTATGTAAAGTTTCTTGGGAAAGTAAATACAGAGTTTTTTTTTCTCATACAAAAATAAAGCAGACCATCTGTAGTGTGTGATCAATCCACTGAAGCCATTTTTAGGACTGTCTCGTGTGTTTGTGAAGATTTTAAACTTAAACCATCAAAGGAAATAAATGATCTCCAGAATCTGTCATAACCATCATTTTCATAATCATCAACACCATCATCATTTCATCATCATCAACATAATCCATTGCTTTGTCATCTTCTCAAACTGAATTCCATTCTGAAAAACGTGCTTTCTTCTGTCCTTGACGACTCCTACTCACGGATCACACAGTTCACAAGCGTTGAAGTGACTGTTGTCACTGGGCTGAGGCAGATCTTGTGGGCCTCCTGGCCCAGGATAACCCCTCATCCTGTCCCTGTTACAGTCAACCTTCACATGCCAGTACCTCCTAGCATGTCACGGACCTCTCTTTCCATCAATCAATCACTGAAGTTACTATGGTAACACAAAGCTCTCAACGGAGTCTGCATCATTCAGCCAACATTCTCTTTTTCACAACTCATCTAAAGTTACTAAACAGATTTAACGTCCAACATCATTTGACCTGACAAAAAAACAGAAGTGAAAAGTATGTAAGGCCCGGCCTTGTGCATTATCTATGGTAATTATGCTAAATGTTGAACTCGACAATGCTGATATCTAGGGTATTGTGCTACTTATAACAAAAGAAACAGACACTGCTGATATCCATATTGTGCTATATTACTCAGACTATGCTGTGATACCCATATAACATAACAACTGTGTGTTTTGGGGTCTCTCCATTGTCACTCAACAGTCCAGGGAAACATGACGTGCTGCTCCAATGCTTTGGACTTTCCATCACTTTCCATTGCAAATCCATTGCGTCCAAAGTATCTCTGCCCCTACAATTTGGTGCCTTTGTTGGGGGAGTATTTCATAAAACGTCCTCCATTTAGATAGAGTATTACCAATGCCACCATTGTAACATGCATAATAATGCTACTTTCAACTTTAATTTTAAACCTTCAATTATAATTTTTACAAAGTGATCATGTGAGACATCTCAGACACTTAAGAGGTGAACCCACTTTTGTGTGGTTATGGCAGTGTTAGGATCGAAAATAAACTTCAATGGCCGCTCAGGGTAGATTCCTCTGCTTATATGGTTGATAAAATGGAACCATCTGATCCTAAGTTGGGATCCATGTTTGATTGACACTGAGACATTATGGGGTGTCACATTGCCCATCATCCATCTTCCAGAATCGTATCTGTGGCCTTGTCGTAAAACACCTCAGCTGGTGCTGGTGGTACTGGGGTCAGGGGTCAGTTTTAAGGCATTACATTAGGGAGTTTTTTGGGCATGTGGTGCCCCCACTGGTCTCTACAGGTCATCACTCTCCACCAGGCCTCCCGGCTGCAGGGGGCTGGAGTCAGGGAAGAAGGCTGCCTTCACGTCCAGTCCTCTCTCTGTCAGTGCTGCGTAACGACTCGTCGACGGACGCACCTTCTTAGGCTTGGGAGTGTTGGGCTGCTGCCACTGAGCTGAGGAGAGGAAAGAGGGGGAAGTGAGGGTAAATATAGATTATAGAGGGTAAATAAAGTGTATATATAGATTTAAATTTGTTTGCCGTTTACATTTGGTCCTGTGTGTGTGTCTGGGGGACTTACTGTGGACATCGAGTCGTGCAGTGCTGGACACAATGCCAGCCTCGTTCTTGGCTGACACGGTGTACCAGCCAGCGTCCTCCTTCATGGCTGGCTGGATGATCATACACAGGTAGCCACAGTTGTCCTGGTGCATGCTGGGGGGAAAAAAGAGTTCAACACACACCCGTAGGACCGAGTTTCACAGAATGTTGTAAAATCATCAATATCTTTATCATTTAGTATCTCCAGTTTAGAGAGGCTGCTTACCAATAATATTACTATTTTATTTGAATTTTATTGGATTTATGTAATACAAGCCATAGATGGTGAATGGTAGTGCTGTCTTACCTTATCCTGTCTGTGTTGTGCGTGAAAGACTCATTCTCTTTCTTCCAGAAGATCTGTGGGTAGGGAACAGCCGACACACGGCATTCCAGACGCACCGGATAACCCTCAGCAACGCCAGTGTTCTGCAGCTTCTCGATGAACGAAGGGGCCTTGTGCATCTCTTTGGCTGGAGACAAGAGAGACACCAAGGTCAATCATATATCAAACCATGATGTATTGTGATTAGTAATACATTATTTGCATCAACAACAAAAAGTAGACAAAGGGTCTTTATATCTGAGAAGACATCTAAAATATTATCGGTACTTTCCTGTGACAATGTTTCAATGTTGTTAATCTGTCTCTGCCTATTTGTATAAATGATGTACTGTGACTGTACTACAGGGCGTCTACCTGCTACAATGAGTTCCAGGTTGAAGGAGTTCTGTCCGGCGCGGTTGCTAGCGATGCAGGTGTAGATGCCTGCATCACGGCTGGACACGGGCTCGATGACCAGCGAGTGGACGCCATTCTCCCTCACCAGCATCTTGTGGGCAGAGTCAGGACGGATGGTCTGACCATTCAGCTGCCAGATCAGGTCTGGTGTGGGCAAGCCACTCACCTAGAGGGGGAACACAACAAACACTCAATAACTCATTCATCACATTGTGTTTATTTATACAGTCAGTGTAATGTCTTGAATCTGTAGCTGGAGCATGACAGTGTTTATTTGCAGGGTAAATGTGCTGTTATTTATTTGCATTGTGAGTACAGTATTATGGTGTGTCTCTGTCTGCAGTGTGAGAGCAAGTGTTTTATTGTCATTTGTCTGGAGTCTCCCGGTCACCTGCATGTTTTCTCATGGGAACTGCCTGGCCTGTGAAAGGACCCACTTCTCTTTTCAGCACCCGCTGCATGCCAGAGAAACCCTACACCTGCCCCTCCCTCAGTTGTGCCTGGTAGAGCCCACCTGTGTGTGTGAATGTGCGCGAGTGCGTGTTTGTGTGTGTTTGTGTATGTGTGCGTGTGTGTGTGTGCGTCTGTATCCGACCTTGAGTGTATTAAGTGCTGGAAGTAGAATTAAGTAATTTGTTGTTGAACATGGTTCAGCCTCCATGTAGTACACTTCCTGTAGTCCATTTTGGGCATGGAAAGTTTGAAAACCACAAACGATTTGGAAATAAATATTGTCTATAAATATCATTGACATTAAGAGCCCCAAGACATTGGAGACTCACTCTGTTTATTTTTTGACGAGTATAAAAAGAGAGTCTTGTTATAGAGTGTGAATTCCGTGTATGGTGCTGTTTGGTTTTATTACAGTTTTCTAACTGTGTATGACTGCCACAGGCTGCAGAGGAAGGATTAGTGACAGAGGGAGAAAGAGAGAAAAGCGAAGCACAGAGAAAGAGAAAACAGAGAAAGGGAAAACAGAGGGAGAAATAATTGCAGAAAGAGTGAGAGAGTGAACCCTCTTAATCCTGGCAAAATGACACCAGCATTTCCTCTCCTCACTCGCTCTGAGCCATTCATCATGGAAAAGGAGATAAAATATATAGCCGCAATTATTTATTCTCCAGTATATGGAATGCATGAGGAGGATGCCTTTCTCAGGCCCACAGACACTCCTCATCACTGACACAGAGAGAATTAGAGGGTGGAGATGCAATCTTTTCCTAAATTTTTCTATGATTTACTATGTGCTCAACACCCGCATTCATTTTGGAAAGTCGGAATATTCCTTTTTTTTATTCTTAGAATCTGTCATGTTTCCAGTAATTAAAAGCCTCACACTCCTCCCTAAACAACAGGCCTATAATGGTAGAATCCTAAAGGTGTAGCTGTAGTTTGAGGTCAAGAAGGGGTGTGTTCAGTGTTCAGGAGGCATGGACTCACCTTGCAGTCCATCCGGCAGAGCCTGCCCTCCTGGACGATGAGGTCACCGGGCGCCTGCAGGAAGTGGGGGCGGAAGTGACGCTCCTGGATGTTCTCGTTCTCATCACCACTGTCTCTGGACCGAGACCTAGGTCTGAGGGGAGAGAGCGAGGTAGTGAGAGAGGGGGGAGGAGAGAGAGGCAGGGAGGGAGGGAGGGAGAAGAAGAGAAAGAGCAGAGGGAAGACAGAGGGTAAAAAGGAGAAAGATAAAGAGAGGGAGGCACTGATGGATATCTTAAAAAGCTTCACTCAGACAGATCGGATATGAAAGCCTTAACTGGGAGTGTCTGTGAACAGATCCGGTTATTGGATTGTGATTGTGATTGTGTGTGTGTGTGTGTGTGTGTGTGTGTGTGTGTGTGTGTGTGTGTGTGTGTGTGTGTGTGTGTGTGTGTGTGTGTGTGTGTGTGTGTGTGTGTGTGTGTGTGTGTGTGTGTGTGTGTGTGTGTGTGTGTGTGTGTGTGTGTGTGACAGGTATGATATTGAAAGATCATTGCACCTTTCAATCTAACAGATCAAGAACCAACAGGTGTTTCCGCCCACTCACACTGCACTCTTCACCTCATATAAAAATGTCAACAACACAAAAGGTTTGATTTAATACACATTAATATCAACAGAATTATATGTCCTCTTTTCACAGTTCATAATAGCGGTATCTTAGGACAGATGTTCATACACCTGGTGTATTGACCACTTATTGTGAATGAGTGCGAGTCTGTACTTGTACAGTACTGATGCATAAAGGCAGTCCAGATGGTGAATAATAGCCAACAAGAACATTGACAACACATTTCTAAAGCCCATTATGAATAATAGCGAACAGTGCTTGTTTCTCCTTCCTCTCCCTGTGTGGCTGTCAGTCATTGTGTCAGTCAGTCATTGTGTCTGTCAGTCATTATCTCTGTCAGTCATTATGTCTGCCAGTCATTATGTGTCTCAGTCATTGTGTATGTCAGTCATTGTGTATGTCAGTCATTGTCTGTCAGTCATTGTGGCCTTACCTGCGGATGTGTCCAGGTGTAGAGCGCTGGCTCCTCCCCCTCTGGTTCACTGCCTGGACCATCATCCTGCCAGTACAGCTCACCCTCCCCTGAGAGAGAGAGAGAGAGAGAGAGCGCGAGAGAGCGAGAGAGAGCGAGAGCAAGGGAGAGATGTATGGAGAGAGAGATGCGGAGAGAGGGAGAAAGAGATGAGAGAGAGATGGAGAGAGAGAGAGAGTGGAGAGAGGGCGATAGAGAGAGAGACGTTTGTTTGACGTTTATGACTGGTCATACTCAAATTCAACTAAAACCCATGTCAGAGAGGAAGTACAGTGTGTTAAAGTTGGCCAGGCTATTGGAAAGGCAGCGGTACATGAACTCTCGACCCTCATGAAGGCTTTAGTGATTTCCTGTCTCACTCGACACCCGCTTCCCCGGCTGGCTGGAGACCCTTATCTTCTCCACGGCTCCATTATTCTAGAACTAATGACTGCTAACAGCACCAGCACCACTGGCTGCCAAACGGATTGGTCCTGATAATGTGTGTGTATGCGTATCCATAGATACAGTATGTCCCCTGTGTATAGTAGTTTGGTGTGAAACGACTTGGTGTGAACGTCTGTGCAGGGTTTTCTATACGGGAATCAGTCAGGTCCTGTGTGTGTTGGGTGGGTCAGGTGTTCTCACCTCGGGGTTACCAGCCATAATGGTGTAGTTGCCGTCATCGTCCAATGAGGCAGCGGCAGTGTGGAGGTTGCAGGTTCCGTCAGCGTCGCGGCTGATCCTGTAGTGTTCACTCCTCTTAGAGATCTGCTTCCCATCCTTAAACCAGTAGATCTATAGTGGACAGGATAGACACAACACAGAGTTACACAATGACCTATAGAAGTGGATAGGAGTAGAGAGGGAAGAGAGTATTACATTATATTATATTATTCTATGCTCCCCCCTCTATCTGTCCTCTCATTTTCTCTCTCTTCCGTTCATCTGATGCCTGTCATCACCCAGTCATAACAGAAGCCCTGTGAGCGAGGGATAGGCAGTGGTGGACTCACAGATGTTGGTACACCAAGCCTGGCCCTTATAACAACTCACTGTTCATGTACCTCAACCTCCTACTAACAACACTACACATCATCAACTCCCAATTATCAGAACAATACTGTATGTCGGTGCATTAAACATTTACACCATACAACAATACACCTGAATAAAGTGACAATAATATTGACATTAAGAACGGCTGATCAGTGTGACCTCTGACCTTTGGCTTGGGGTCTCCGATGATCTTGCAGGAGAAGGTGACGGGCATGCCCTCGAACACCTTGTAGTGTTTGAGCTTGCTGTCGAAGAAGGGCACCACCCCGGTGCCGGTGGCATCCTCGTCATGCTGCACATCGTCGTCAGACTCCTCCACTGGAGAGCGCTCCAGACGGAACTCGATCTCACTGATCAGGCGCTGCTCGAAGCTGGACACCTTGTACTCCTGCAGAGCACACAGAGAGGAAGCAGGGTTAACGCTGAGTGATGGAGCTCAAAGAGCATCACAACTACAGGGAGAGACTGGAATCACAGAGGAAAGGATCACAGAAAAATCTGATGAACAAGAAGCACACTCCGCCACGAGCATTTTGTGTCACTCATGCATGAATTCATTGATTTATTAATTATTTCATTAATTCAAGCACAATGACTTAAGGAAAACCTAAATTCATTTTTTCCCATCAGCTCGCCTATACCCAGTTTCCCCCTATTCCCTCTCAACTCTCTCTATTCCTCCTCTCTTTCTGTCTATTCCCCTCTCTCTCTCTCTCGCTCTCAATTTCTCCTTCTCTCTCCTTCAATCTCAATCTCTCACCACCCTGGCTCGGGCTGTTGAGGCAGAAGCAACATCTGGAGGGTAGTGTGAACTGACTGACTGACTGACAGATAATTACATGCCCAAGACACAGCTGCAGGAGTCTGACATCTCAAGGGGAGGCAAAGCTTTGGTAGTGCGAGGACAGGGTTCTGTTGCCAAAGCTCACCAAAGTGTAAATCTCTTTCTCTGCCTCTACCTCAATCCCTGTTTTCCCTCCCTCTGTCTGAAAAGTCTATATCTCTCTCTCTTCCTCTCTCTCCCCCTCCCTTGAATTCTTGTTATTGTTTTCTATGTTTTTCTCAATTTTTTGTTCGCTCGCTCACGTACGTACATGAACATGGGACAAATATATCGGACATGTGACACGTAACGCACACACACAGCTACAGGTTTATCTCATAGTTATAATGACAGTGAACCATGTTCACTTTAGTATCTCATGTCAGGGTGGTGTTGGAAACAAACTCATGCATGCGCCGATATCTGATTAACACATCAAAAGTGACCAATTAACATACACTAAATTAATCAACACATACATTAAAGGCCCAGTGCAGTCAAAAACGTGAATTTCCTGTGTTTTATATATATTTCCACACTATGAGGTTGGAATAATACTGTTACAGTTAATAAACCAAACCTCTCTGCCAATAACAGCTAGTTTTCAGTTTTCCCCTCCCCACTCAGACCACTCCCAGACAGTCCAAGCAAAATTCTTGCTTGAGAAATTACTCTTTGCTAAGAAGCTACTTTTGTTTCTTTTTGACCATTTTGATAGAAAACAATCACATAAGGTATTTCATTGTTACCCAGAAATAACTTGAAATTTAGATAAAAACTGCTGCATTGGACCTTTAAAAGTGACGGACATGTACAGTGACAAAGCCTTGGACATGCTTACTCAGTTTCTCATAAAGAGTATTGGTCAGTAATTGGGTACAGTCAGGTCTGGCTGAAGACTACAGGTGGTCAAAATATATGTAACCACCACAATGACCATAACAGAACCATGAATTAACCTGTTTAATCTGTTTTTTGTCAAATGTATGTTTGTCTTAGTTATCCTTATCAGTTCATTCCCAGGTTTCAAGGTCAGATCCTGTTACGGTTAGAGGGTGTGTGTGTGAACACATCTAATATAATTATTATCAGTGTGGCTTTGTTGAATGGATAAAGCATGGAGAGTGAACACACACAGTGAGGGAGGGAAGGAAGGAGAGAAAGAGGCTTGAATAACCTTTTGAGGGACAGATTCTATATCAGATGAACTGGAATCCTGTGAAGAGATAAAAGAACAGAGAGGTGTGGTCTCTGTGTTACTGTATGATGTCACGTCCTGAGGTCCAACCTCACACCAAAAGATGTATGTACTTACCTGCATTCACAAAGGGTGTGTAACATCACGATCAGTCTTATACAATATATTAACATTATGACTGTATCCACCATTTCCACATTTCCACAAAACACCACATTTCCATATAATTTCCTCTGAATTGGAACGGGCAATTGGTGCTTTAATTCTCACAGCCTCAGGCAGAGTAGTGGCCAGAGCCAATCTCGATCAGACAGGGAACCAGGCTCAGTCCCATGGGCCTCCAGGCAGCCAGAGCCCAACATCACTACAGTACAGCAGCACAGAACAGCCCTGACCTCCACTAAAGACCACCGCCACTGTCTGCAGTTATGAGAGGACAAACCCTGTGCGGCTCACTTCTAGAGTCTGTTTAATTTGCAGTGAGACTTGGCTTTAGTCAATGCAACACATCTGTGTGTGTGTTCTGTACTGAGGTTTTGTGTTTAGTAAATCTTTAAGACTAAATTTGTAAGTTAATATTTGCAGTTAAAGCCTATATTTGACACTTCATCACATTTTTATAGAGCTTTTTAATGTTTCAGAGGCGAACAGATAGCTCCATAGGCCTTCAAACAATGTTATTTACAACTCAAATCAAACCTGTGTAGCTGGCTCCTCGTCCTGCTGCTGTGTGTTTAGCACTGTGGCGGCGTTGTCTGCCCCCAGCAGCCTGCGAGCCATCTTCTCCTCATAGGTTAACCTCTGAAAGCACCGATTAATGGGTCAGCTGAGGTTAGTGTGTCAGTCGCAACATTAACACACACTCATTACAAATGTTAAGACACAGTCTTCCTGAGATAAATGGTTGTGAATGAAACTATTAACACATGGAAAAAGACTTCAAAAGGATATTTTGGACTCAAAAAAGCTTGTCTGTGGTATAGTTATGCTATGTACTATGAATGGTTGGAAATTATATAGGGTTGACATTTGACTTAATGGAGCGCTTGTTAATGCGTATTAATGAATGTTACAAAACACCTTAATTCCCTAGTTACCTACAAACACACAGTCATCTACAGTGTTGTGAAGGCACTCTGGAAACACACACATACCTGTTGTCCGTTGCTCATGCGCTCCTCCTTGAATCGTAGCTTCCTCTCCAGGTCCTGAATGACAGCATCCTTGGTTCCCTGGATGTCAGAGTCTGAGGCCAGGCGTGGGGTTCCTCTGGACTGCTTCCGGGGGAATGCACTGCTGACAGAACACAACAACAGACCATGGGTTTAGAACATGGCATCCCAGACCTTTAAACTACTCAATAGTGGCTGCTGTGTCTTTCTACAGTAGATCATGATATACAATCTGTTGTTTGTGTGTGTGTTAGACTGACTGTGATTTATTTGAACCTGTGATAGAGTCAGAATAAGCCCCTTCTCCTCTCTCGTTCTCTCTCTCTCTCTCTCTCTCTCTCTCTCTCTCTCTCTCTCTCTCTCTCTCTCTCTCTCTCTCTCTCTTTTTCTCTCTCTCCCCCATCTCCCTTATCTGTCCAACTCAAGCATTCCACACAGGGTCCTCTTATCTCTCTCCCCTGCTGCAGGAATGCCAGCGTGAGGGGAAAAACAGACAGAGGAAAGGGCTTGATGAAAAAGAGGGGGATGGAGGGAGGGAGATGTGGAATGGCCTTATAGGAGGAGGGGAGTGTGTTTGACAGCAGATAATAATAATATGCCATTTAGCAGACGCTTTTATCCAAAGCGACTTACAGTCATGCGTGCATGCATTTTTTTTTTGTGTATGGGTGGTCCCGGGGATCGAACCCACTACCTTGGCGTTACAAGCGCCGTGCTCTACCAGCTGAGCTACAGAGGACCAGATCAGAGTGGACATTTTCTCCAGCCAGCCAGGCATTATCAAACAAACCAGATCTCTATCAGTTAACTAAACATAAACATGACCAAGCTCACTCTGGGTGCAGCCGTCTCATAGTCAGGACTGGCCTGAGATGGAGGGGCTTTCTTGACTTGAGAAATATGATTGTATTTTGGAAAGTGCCCACACTCTTAGAAAAAAAGGTGCCATCTAGAACCGAAAAGGGTTCTTCGGTTGTCCCCATAGGAGAACACTTTGAAGAACCCCTTTTGGTTCCAGGTAGAACCCTTTTGGGTTCCATGTATAACCCTTTCCACAGAGGGTTCTACATGGAACCTAAAATAGGTGTACCTAGAACCAAAAAGGTTCTACCTGGAACCAAAAAGGGTTATCCTATGGGGACAGTTGCAGAACCCTTTTGGAGTGCAGCAGTGTGAGTTGAAATCTCAGCTATGCGTAAACCCTTCAGATATCTGTTTATTTGACTTTGACTTTGTCACTCCCTTTACACAAGTCATTGTGCATATTTTCCATATGGGCAAAACATTCTAACATACACATGCGTGCGCGCACACGTGTACACACACGTACACACCTACACACACGTACACACATGTACACACACACACACCCCTCAGGATACTGAGAGAGACTGAGGTGGAGTGTGTGTCTGTAATAGCCCTGACTGGTCTCTGCGCTGTAAACATGCTGTATAAGAATGTAAACACGTCATCTTCCATCTAGCAGCAGACATCCAGCCTCCAGCTGCTGCAAGGTGGCAGGCTGTCCTGATGGGTTTGGAGGGAGAGGGAGAGCCAGCCTGGCTCCACAGAGACAGACCTGCTACAGGCTGTCACTCACTGACTGATATGCACACATTACACTACCATTTGACTGAATGAAAGAGTCTGAAAGTATAGGGTACTGCCCCATAGAGAGCCAGTGTAAGTGTGTGCACAGTCAGTGTATAGATGCGTAACATTGAGGATATACTCACATAGTCCCATTCGCTTTAGACAGGCCCAGGGCGGCGTTGAAGGACGGGCTAGTGGGTGTGGCTGGAAGGACAGAGGCCAGGAAGCCAGCAGGTGATTGGGGCATGGAGGTGAAGGGGGAGGAGCTGTTGGAGTGGGCGGGGGAGAAGGGGGGAGCCGAAGAGACGGGTGGAGGAGGGGGGGGGGGGGGGGGGGAGGGAAGTCTTTGGCGGGGCCTGACGAGGATGAAATGCTGCTGCTGAGGAAGGGAGGAGGTGGAGGTGGGAAGGAGGGAGAGGAAGGGGACTGAGATGCAATGCTGCTGCCCTTACTGAAGGGAGGCAGGACAACCCTGGTGAAGGGTTTTTGTGAGGTGGGTGGGGAGAGGGGTGAGGGCAGGCTGGAACCAGAGGACCCCGAGGACTGGGTGACATAGCCCCCCACGGGGCCAGTCCCCCCAGGGCTCTGGGCAGCAATGAACTGCTTTGGCCGGGCGTAGTTGAAAGTGCTGGTCTGCATGGCGCTGCTCTCCAGCTCCTGGAAGGAGGGAGGAGGGGGAAGAGGAGGAGAGGGCGGAGAGGGCACTTCCTGGGGTTGCTGTGGCAGAGGTGGGACTTCCAGCTCTTGCTCCTGATGTTGGATCCAATTGGCTGCTTCCTGCTGTTCCAATAGAATCTGATCCTGCAGCTGCTTCAACTGTTCTGCATTCCTGGAAGGAAGGACACAAGGGCATCATCTACTGGACAGTGGGATCACTTTGAATGATCATGTCAAACAGTAAAAAAATTGACAAAGCTTGTCAGCTAAATGAAAGCAGGAACACACACACCGGTAGATCAGAAGCATACCATAAAGTAAAGCCATTTTTTTTAGACCAATGGAATCCACACAGTAAAGGCATAGACTCCATTCTGTATATCCACATCTTTTGTGTCAGAGTCAGTAGAAATGCCCAGAGAGCCAGGCCGCAGTAGTTTCTTCACCCAGGTCACCAATCAGCACATAGCACACATACCTCGCTAACACTCAACATCCTCTCAACCCCACTAGAACGCTGGAGGGGATGAGTTAACACTGCTACAAGGTTTCAGGCACGTTGTAGAAATGTTACGAAAGCATGCGGCTGTCATCCATTTTGCCGTGACTGACACAATACCCTGTTCCCCGTCTCTCTCTGGTTACGCAAATTACATAGACGATTGTGATTGTTAAAATGCCAATCATATAGAATGAGCATCCCAGTCATGCTGAGACATTGCGCTAATGTTACAGGCTGTTACTGTGAGTAGTTGAAAACCACACACAGAGTTGTGGGAATGACATCAGCACTTGACCGTCCAGGGGGCCTCGATCAGGAAATACGTTTTTCACCAGCCTGGAATTGATAGCTTGTCAGCCCTGAGGTTAGAGGGTTCAGGGGGACCGTGGGGTGTGGTTAATTCAGCTAGCCAACCAAGCTACCATCCGTGTGTGTGTGTGTGTGTGTGTGCGTGGTGTGTGTGTAAAGTGCTGATTAGTGCTGTTTTGGGAAGGAAACCACTGCACAGGGAGCAGGGACTGATAGCCTATCAGCTGCTCCATACAGACTTGTTAAAAAGCCAGCCTGTCAACAGCCACGTCAAACAATAAAAAAATAAGGGAAATGTGAGGAAGTTTTCCCAATGTTGTCTTCCATTATGACAAATGCTCAAGAGTGTGATGACCTCTGCGGGGTCAAGGACAAGACTAGGCATGGTCATATAATACGTGATAATAACATTGTAATAATGTAATTGATTTTGGTACAGACAGGAGAGAGACATACCAAGACAAGTACTGTACTAAGGACAAGGTGTGGCTCACATCTCTTAAAGGGCAATGTAATGAAACAACAAAAACAAATACACGTCTCTGTTGCATCTTGTTCTCAGGGGTGAGTCCTAATGATGGAGTATTGTATTCTGTCACAGCGGTATGGCTGCCTGAGGATTTCATACACTGAGCCCTACTACACTGTCGACACAGTGTAGTCGACACTACACTGTCGACACTGTGGACTTCTGGCCTGGCCTGGTCTGGGATCAGTGGCTGGGGAAACTAAGGCTTTCAGGAGGTTACTGATCCTACTGATATCCTGTATTTCTACACATTTTGCCATGGGGCGTAAAGAAATTGTTGCCGTTTTAAAGGCCCAGTGCAGTCAAACTCACCGCTCAGTTTATTAGGTACACCCCCCCGTTCACGAAAATGTATCGTTCCTACAGACAATGAGTCACGTGGCCGTGGCTTGCTATATAAAGCAGGCAGACAGGCATAGAGGCATTCAGTTACTGTTCAATTAAATGTTAGAAATGGGCAAAACGAATGACCTAAGTGACTTTGAGTGTGGTATGATCGTCGGTGCCAGGAGCGCCAGATCCAGTATCCCAGAAACGTCTGTTCTCCTGGGCTTTTCCCGCATGACAGTGTCTACGATTTACTGAGAATGGTGCGACAAACAAAAAACATCCAGTCTGCGGCAGTCCTGTGGGAGAAAAAAGCTCATTGATGAGAGAGGTCGAAGGAGAATGAAAATAATCATGCAAGCTAACAGGCTGGCCACAAACAGACAAATAATGGCGTAGTACAACAGTGGTGTGCAGAACGGCATCTCGGAATGCACAACTCGTCGATCCTTGTCACAGAAGTGCTATTGCAGCAGACGACCACACCAGGTTCAACTCCTATCAGCTAAAAACAAGAAGAAGCGGCTCCAGTGGGCACGCGATCCCCAACACTGGACAATTGAGGAGTGGAAAAACATTGCCTGGTCTGTCGAATCCCGGTTCCTGTTGTGTCATGCTGATGATAGAGTCAGGATTTGGTCTATGGACCCATCCTGCCTGGTACAGGCTGGTGTGGGGAATGTTTTCCTGGAACATATTAGGTCCCTTGATACCAATTGAGCAACGAACGTTTCCAACACCTTGTAGAATCTATGCCCCGAAGAATTCCGGCTGTTCTGGAGGCAAAGGGGGGTCCGACCCAGTACTAGATGGGTGTACCTAATAAACTGTCCGGTGAGTGTATTACCACACTATGAGGTTGGAATAATACTTTGAAATTGTGAACATGATGATAATGCCCTTTTAGTGTAAGAGTTGTTTGAAAAGATTGCCTGAAATTTCAGCCTGTTTTGGTAGGATTGACATGACTGTGGACTGGAATGAAGAAAGGGGAGTGAGTAACCTACCCATCCTATGTCCACTCTATGCTTTGAAGGGCTAAATAACGGGGACATATTTTATTTGCGTCTAGGGGCTTGTAACAGGACTGTAGAGTGGGAACCCCAGGACACACATGAAATGGAAGAGTTATCTTCTCAGGGTATCAGAAGGAGAGAGGGGTCTTTGGGAAAGCTATAAAACCCCAATGTGTCAGAGACCTTCATGTTAATGGCCCAGTCTTAGTGTGACTAGTAGTGCGTCCATCACAAAGCGTTGGTAGAAGACTATAGCTACAGCAACATGCCTTGTCATCAGGACTCCACTAGACCTGCATTCTCCCAATCTGTTCCAGATGCTGAATAATCAGAAATAGTTTTTTCTGCTATTTTTCATTTCTGTCTGAGGGTCCATGGGGGAAGCCTCCTCTCCCTCTTTCTGCTGTATTTTTTAAATTTTTATTTTACATTGTTTTGATTGCTGTTTTGTTTCACATTGTATTTGATGGTTGTATTACTGTGATCAGGGCACCCTTGAGAATGAGACCTAGGTCTCAATGGGTTTTTCCCGAATAAATAAATAATAATAAAAAATAATAATAAACATGTGAAGAACCAAACAAAGGTAGCGAACATTTTACAATAAAATGACAGAACTGACAGTGAAAACATCATGAGACAGATATTCGACATGCTTCCAGATCAGTCACATGCTCCCATCATTAGTATACTCTTAGAAAAAAAGGTGCTATCTAGAACCTAAAATGGTTATTTGGCTGTCCCCATAGGAGAACCCGTTGAATAATCCTTTTTGGTTCCAGGAATAACCCTTTTGGGTTCCATAAAGAACCCTTTCCACAGAGAGTTCTGCATGTAACCCAAAAGGGTTCTACCTGAAACCAAAAAGGGTTCTACCTGGAACCAAAAAGGGTTTTCCTATAGGGACAGCCAAAGAACCCTTTGGAACCCTTTTTTCTAAGAGTGTATCAGCGCAACAGTGGAACTTCAGGCCCAAATAAACACTCATTATTTCAATCACTCCAACCTGTCATAACCTGTGTGGTGTTGTAGGCTACAGCTTATAAGAATTAGCACATAGTGCAGTGCCCTCTTTTCATCATGTGTTTTCCTTAAAATCCCAGCAATGTCGGACATTAAAGCCTCCACCAAAAGAGCACTTTTACAGGAATAGTTTGGCATCTCCTGAGAGAGCCAGCCTCGGCGTCCTCTGTGCCGTTTTCATTCCTTTTTTGGCTATGTTCTCAGCGAGTGAGGCAGAAGCGCCTCTCCTCTCCTCGACTCGCCCGCCCTCTCAAACAGAGGGGAAACGCGCTTCATTTCCTCAGCGCCTTGTCTTTCCCTCTTTCTCTCTTCGACAGACTCCTTCACTGCCAGCCTGCCTGTGTTGTGCATTAAATCATTTGGAGAGCCTTTAAAACAGTTTGTCCACGTGCCTGCATTTTTTAATAACCCACCTGATGGTTTCCAACCTGCCTAGAATATCTTAGAGCATCTTATTGCTAGGAGTCCAGTTTGAGTTTACAAATATATCCAAAACGTTGTCTTAGTGTTTTTTCTCCAGTCTCTGGAATATTCCTGAGTATATGGGGAGGCAGAGTGGATGTTGGCCAGCTATGACTGACTGACATCATCTACTTGCCTTAAAAGGTGTTCTTTCTTTATATAGAACAGCTACTTCCAAACAAACATCACCATTCATTAGACACCACAACAACTCTAATGTACGTCTCTCTCTCGCAGCATGGTCAATCAATTCCTCCTTTAGTACAGTCCAATTCCACTTTCTTATTTTAGTAAAGGGCAATCACATGATTAAGATTTATTTGTCCCACTTTCCGCATATGACTAACTTTCCAATTGTATTCTACGTCATGAACTCTGACATTTTACTTTCATTTCTATGTTTCCACTCAATTGAATTAGCATTTGTCAGATACTATCATATTGTCAGTGAGAAAGTCAGACAGTGTAATTGTTCAGCTTCATCAGTCATTTTATTGTCCTTTAAAAGGTCTGTCTGCCTCCAGGATAGCAGGTGTGGGCCAGCCTGACCCTGTGACCCAGCCTTCAGCCAGTTCTGCCCAGCCAACAACCACCCTTAATACTAATTGTAATTATTTTGCACTATTGCCTATTTATTGCCTTACCTCCATAACTTGCTACATTTGCACACACTGTATATATATTTTCTGTTGTATTTTTTGACTTTATGTTTTTTTTACCCCATATGTAACTCTGTGTTGTTTTTATCGCACTGCTTTGCTTTATCTTGGCCAGGTCGCAGTTGTAAATGAGAACTTGTTCTCAACTGGCCTACCTGGTTAAATAAAGGTGAAATAAAAATAAATAAATAAACCTATGAAATTACTCAGAGAACTATTCCATCTCTCTCAGTCAAGCTCTTTCTCTACTGATAACCGAACAGGATGGATCTATTAGTCTTGAATGAGCCAACAACACCATGAATTTCTCCTCATGGTCATTTGACTTAATTTAGTCACCAACTCTGGGAACAAAGAGAGGAGCCTTCCACCCAATCAACCCCTCTTAAAAATATATTTAAAAGAGATGGAGGTTCATTCACTTATAACCATACAGCCTATTAATTTACATCACTTTCACATTCAACTCTCCACATCCCTTGTTTAGTCTGAAAGGACCTTGTCCTATAGCTGTTCTGAACCGCGTGTTTTATAGATACCAGTCTGATTCTCTGGGGTACAAGAAACAAATATGTAGGTATACACCAACTGTATGTAAACAGAATTTCTACAAGGTACAAAGCTCTGAGTTGATACTTGGTAAAAACGTTTTATCTCTCTTGTGAGCATCTAATAAATGACAGAAACTGCTGAAAAGCCTGACGTTAATTCATTTATTTCCTTGGTTCCTCTGACAGTCTGTTCCTCTGTCTTGCGGTGCAGTAGGGCCTTGGAGGGAGGGAGGTGTCCTGCTCTCTGTCTCCATGCCAACGACCCAGTGTTGTGCTGTACCGAGCTGAGCCAACTGGCCCACACAACACCCAGTTACAGTGTGAAAAAACTGTAGAGCTCAGCTCTGTCATTCCAGACTGTAACGCTGCATTACAGTTACATCTCTCTCTTTCTTTATCCTTCTCCCTCACCCTCCATTTGGAGGTAGAAATAGGCTAGGCTGTTCAAAGTTATTTCTCTCTTTCTCTCTCATCTTGAAAAGGACATTCAGTTGGCCTGGTTCCTGGGTGTAAATTCTTTAACATGGAACACAATGAGAGAGCACTTCAGGAGAAACGTTTTGATTGACTTACCATTCAGCATTCAATTACACTCGTAGTAAAACGTCAATTATACAATTATTCTGGTGGTGGTTTTACTTTCCAGTTCCTACATGCAAACATTAGCAGCATCACTGAGCTTAACGGAGTCAGGCACCGCTTGTCTGAGTAAGAGTTAATTGAATCTGTCTTTTACAGCACCATGTAGCAAGCTGAAACAGACAATGTTGTAGCAGTCCAAGCAAGCTGAAACAGACCATGTTGTAGTAGTCAAAGCAAGCTGAAACAGACCATGTTGTAGCAGTCAGAGCGAGCTGAAACAGACCATGTTGCAGTGGTGTGTATTCATGGTGCCAAGGGAAGCCAGGCTTTCCCAAAACATTTCCCAAGAAAAAATTTAAAAGCATATGAAATAATTTATCTTTCGTCTCGCTGTGTTTTCATAATTTTCCTTCAATTCGCAAGAGGCTGAATGTACAGTATCTCACCTGAGAAAGCATCTGAGAGAGCGAAGCAACGCCCCTCTGTGTAGGCCATCTATCTGATGCTGTCTGGCCAAAAAGAGTATGACATTGTTGCCACCCATAGCATTGAATGCAAGGGAAGCCAGCGAGCATCTGGCCTCCCTTGATAAAAAAGTATAAAATAATTGCCAATCAGCGTTGAGCTCAACTGTGAATGGTCCTGGCGCACCAAAGAAAGTGTCAAGGGAGGCCAGTTTGGATTTGGCCTCATTCCTATCACATCGCATCAAGAGAAATATGTAATTGACAGAAACAACTTGAATTGTTGCATCTCGTTGTGTTGTTGTCCTCCGGTGGCTAGCTAGCTAGCTAAAATTGTCCCTTTCCTAAATTAGCCATGGATGGAGATAGGGATTTGGACTTGTGGTTTTACTTAAATTCTCTGTACTGGCCAATGATTATAATGGCGATAAAAAAAACATGACTGTAAATAATTAATTACAACAAAGGACATAAGAAACAAACTTTCAAACGAAGGGAAACTTCTTGGCAGGGAAAAAACAAATTTTTATAAATGTGGGTTTTGACACTCTTATGTAGGTGTCATAACCAGCCATAAAATAACGCTATATATGTCACAACAGGTGTGAATATATGGGTCATGACAGTGTTAAGACCATATTATAACAGGTTATGACAGGTTATGTCAGCTGTTATGACATATTATGACCTGGTTATGACCGTGTCATAACGTGTTAGGACGCTGGGTGTCAAGTAAAGTGTTACCGACTAAATTGTTTTTGGTATCTTTTTGTTGTCACTGTATTAGACTAAACATAGGTGATTTGAGGATGTTGAAATGATGTTGAAGTTGAAATGGTGCTGGAATACTGGAGGCAGCTCCTGTTTTCTTTGCGACTTGCGGTAACTCTCCGTGGTTCTAAATCAATAGTTGTTTAGTAGTCGGAAAATGTCGGAAACAGTAACTTGCTTGACCATGCTGTAGGTCATGTAACTGTTTGTTACATGCAATATGCTTTGTGGACTTCACCGGACAGAGGTTGCTCTCTGGTTTTGTGATGAAACAAAGGTGTGGTTGAATTTATTCTGCCTCTGTGTCTTCCTATTGTCTTGGCCTTAGGCCTATATATAACGGTGGCAAGGCATATGAACTAACAGTTTATAGAGCAAACAACACAATTATCACAACACATAGGTTGTAATATGGCTTTTTCTTCTGGCTTGGCTTCTGCAGTGATTTTACCCACGCACTGCTACTGCCATGTTGTAGCAGTCAGAGTAAGCTGAAACAGACCATGTTGTAGCAGTCAGAGAAAGCTGAAACAGACCATGTTGTAGCAGTCAGAGAAAGCTGAAACAGACCATGTTGTAGCAGTCAGAGAAAGCAAGCTGAAACAGAACATGCCAGCCACAGATGGTTTCCAGTCTGTGATCGCCACCAGCTGCCTCTCCTCCTTAGACTCTAATCATGCAGTCTTTAATCAATGCTCTCTCTAATCAACTTGTCTATAATAGTCATGTTTACACACACAGTCAGTTGTTTGTGCTTCCTGGACAATGATGGCCTCTGGTCTATACAGACATACGGTTCTACAGTTAGACTGACTGACATGCCACCATGCAAGCTGTGAGCCATCGCTGGGTTTTACAACCTCACTTGTTTGGGTACTGGGAAGGGGAGCATGTATGTCTTTGGTTGGCCGCTGGCTGACTAGGAGTAGAGGAGGGAAAGGGTTTATGGGATTCCACCAGCAGCACTCACTGATGACAGGAAGCGACCATGGGAGGACAGGAAGTAGTTGAGTGTAAATAGCCAATATTGAGGTTTTTTTTTCTGTAAACAACAACAAGAGGCTAAGCTTCCTGCTGCACTGTGTGTACATACAAGCCAGCTATGTGTAAGTAAAACGCTGTTGATCCACTCAAATGTCTGAACAACAGTTGTACATTTTCCCACAATGAGACTTGTACCTACATATTAATGTGTGTTTATGAGTGTGTGTGTCATTGTTTAACCACACGTCACCATGCCAGTCTACAGCTTTTAAAAAGTGTGGCCTTGTCAAACATGAATGATACATGCCTAAACAACAGATTGGAGCTCTGGCATTACACCTCCAAAACAAATACAGCCTCTCTGTGTGTGTGTGTGTGTGTGTGTGTGTGTGTGTGTGTGTTAAGGAGTACGGGTTAAAGGGTAAGCAGTTAGCTAGAGGTGTAAGTGATGCATGTTAATCTGTGTGTGTGTGTGTGTGTGTGTGTGTGTGTGTTAAGGAGGATGGGTTAAAGGGTAAGCAGTTAGCTAGAGGTGTAAGTGATGCATGTTAATCTGTGTGTGTGTGTGTGTGTGTGTGTGTGTGTGTGTGTGTGTGTGTGTGTGTGTGTGTGTGTGTGTGTGTGTGTGTGTGTGTGTGTGTGTGTGTGTGTGTGTGTGTGTGTGTGTGTGTGTGTGTGTGTGTGTGTGTGTGTGTGTGTGTGTGTGTGCTACAGTGGAAACACACCAAGGTGGTGACACAACAACATGCTGGCCCCAAACCATGCTCCGAGCAAAGAGTTTATCAGACCAGATCCAAGAACGCAGGGTGAAATCAATAGGAGCATGGGAAAATACCAGAGACTCCTGAGTCTGACTCCCACTGCAATCATGTAGGCAAATACACCTTGCTCTGTCAAACACACCTCCACAGGCATGAGCAGACAGACAGGACAGTATGATCAGTGGTACATGTTGTCTCGCTGTGCCTGACAGCATGTTTCACACTTCCCTCACCTGTATTAACACACCCCCATTACATCATTGTTACAGTGCGTCAACCTACACTTGACTGATCCATGACAGAAACAGTCTAGTCTGTCACACTGTCTGACATATTGACTGACTGAACTGACTGAGACTAACAGACTCTGACTAACTGGCTGGTTATCTGCCTGACTGACTACTAGCTACTACTTGATTGGTTGACTTTAAGGAAATACTGATTGATCGATGTGCCATTAATGGGTGTTTTCTCCTGTTGTGGAGACACATAACACAGGTGGCTGTAGCAAGAAACAGGAATCCTATAGCTATGGGCCAAAATCACCATAATACAGTTCTTAATGATTTGTCCTATCGCTGCAGAATAATGTTTACCCTATGACATCTGTATTTACACTAGCAAAGTAGCTGGTCATTATACACACTTTGGTCACCAAGGGTCTCTAATAACAACAAAGCTATTTTTTAGGCAACCATTTGGAGTTCTATTTGGGGAGGGGGAGACTTCCACTCAAGTCCTTTGTTAAGTTTACGGTAAGGGGCTGCAATAACAGTTTACAGGAATCCAGTATACAAACACCCCCAGCAAGATAGCTGAATGTTTATGTTTGACATCATCACTTTAGATCACCGGATGAGACCAACTGGTGGACATGAGAAACTTCCATCAACAAATTCAAGTGAAGCCCTCAAACAGGTGTGGGCTGTGCGCACACAAACATAAACCCGCACAAAAACAAACACACACAGAGACAGTACATACACAAGTAGGCCTACCAGTACACACACAATTTGTGTTGGATATTTTGAATGAAAGTACAGATTTAAGAGTCTAAATCCTAACCTTTCCACATGGAGGAGCATGTTGGCCAAACCTCCAGTCCAGTCAGGTTTAGAACCAGAGTTAACCCATTGACCTGACCCACATCACAGGCTGATTTACCACCATGCAGGCCCAGACTCCTCACTCACAGTGAGTCATACTGCTCTCCATAATCCCTCCTCCCCTGGCTTGGCTGAGTGCTCCTCCTCAGGAGAGAGAGAGGAGACAGAGGAGCTGTCCAACTTTCCATGGACATTTCATACCCCCCTAGACTCAGCTCCTAGATCAGTGCAACTTGAGGTGCTGTATTGGCAAGAGTAGTCCCTGACATTTTTCATATAGACAACAAAGGAAACCAGAAAAGCATAAAGTAAAATATATCACTTTTTGTTATCAACTCCCATTCCCTCTCTCTCTCTCCTTGTCCCACTCAATTTCTCTGTCTTTGTTCTCCTAGACTTCCAAACTTATTTTCAACCTCTCCATGTTTCTCTCTTTCACCTCCTCCCTTGCTCCATCTGTACCCCACCCATCCCCTCCCGCTCTCTCTGGCTTTAATTGCACACACATCACATAAAACAGAACCAGACTGTTTATTTTCCCCGCTTTAACAACTGCACAGAGCGTGTGGCTCATTCTGACCAGACTAACAGTTCAGGGCTGCTCCAGCTCCCATCAACCCCTTAAGTTATGTCTCTCCCTCCCTCCGTCTCTCTCTCTCTCACTCTCTCTATTTAATCAGTCTATCATCTTAGGAGCCATTTTATATAAAATAAAATAATAGGTGAGGAGTGCAGAGAATTAACAGTGAGCTCTGTCTCTTCCTCCCTCCCTCCCTCCCTCCCTCCCTCCCCCCTTTTCCCCTCCCTCTGTCCAGTGAGACAGAGAGTGTTTTTTTGTATTGCAGGAATGCTCAAGACATTCTTCTTGGGATTGGAATGGGAAAGACATCGCCATCAAATGGGATTAGCAGCAAGAGTGGAGAGGGAGAAGGAGAAAGTGGAGGAGAGCCAGAGAAAGAGAGGGGAAGGGAGGGGGTAGAAACAAGAGAACCCAGTGAAGGACTACAGCCAAACCTGACACTACTGTTATTACCTGACAGACTAATCCATCAGACCCCAAAGTGGCACCACACAACTGACCTATATAAAAACACAACTGGTCCTTCACCACTAACACAACACTGACACAACCCAGAATAAAGCAACAGACACTGCACTACTGTCATCGCTACATCACACTACTAGGCTTTACCAACCTCACAGACCATATCACCCTCAGTAAAGCAGCCAGTTGCCTCCAGCTTCTCCTCTCCAGACTAACCACTTCCCAGAGCCTCCAGTAAATTAATGGTTTCTATCTCTGCCTCTCTCTGTCCTATAAACCACACATCCATACTCCAACACATGCTTTTAACATTAACTGTCTGAGCGGCTAGCAAAGCAGACAGAAATGAAGAAAAAGCATTCCTGGTTCTCCTTCTCTATCATTTGTGTCTCTCCTTATTCTGTACTCCTTCATTCCCTCTCTCAATTCAACCCTTTTTAGTTCTTCAGAAGCATAAATGACAGATTGTGATTTTAACTGATTTTGAGATCATTTTTAGCTCACAAAGTTTTACCACAGAAGAAAGAACAAGGGCAACACTGTATTTCCTTGAAGCAGTGAGGTCAGCATAAAGCAACAGTGGCTGTGCTAATGTGGTGTGTTCACATTGTGTTCTCTCTCTCTAATGAACTGAACTTGACTGAGAGTTAATGAAAAGCATCTTGCTGCTTGCTTCTCACCCTCTCCCGGCTTCCCCTCTGCCTTCCCTCTCTCCCCCTCTCCCTCTCTTCATAAACTCTCACTTCCACTGAAGTGTGTTACAATTGACAAAAGTTGTATTTGATTTTGTAAGAAAGTTGTAAGAAAGGAGTAGTACCTTCAATGATGCGGCCCAGGTGAGTGTGTCTGTCAGCGGCTCAGGTATTCCCCAGGAGGAGGAGGAGTGTGTGTGTGTGTGTGGTTGTTTCTGCTGGTCTGCCAGGTAGCAGAGCAGCATATATAGAGCAGTCAGCAGCCAGACTCAGCCTCCCTCTCTCTCTGCATGAGTCAGCCTGAGCCTTCTTCACAATAAAAGCCTCTCTTTCACAATAAAAGCTCTGCAACACTGGCCACTGATATAGAGACTTCCCTTTCAGAACCAGGCTGTTAGAATAACAACAGCCAGCTATTTTTGATCCATGGACAAAAGATTGAAAGTAAGAGCGAGAGAGAGATTGTGAAAGAATGTGACAGATAGGAGATACACAGATCTTACATTACTGTACCTGCTGTATGCTTATTGTCACAATCAGAATCACTTTATTCACAAAGTACATTTGCACATACCTAGAATTTGACTTAGTGAATATGCGCTGCCAGCAACAGACAATGTACAAACAGAATACAGACACAAAGTATGCTTATTCTGGACTAAGATCTGATGTATTATGTTCCCACTGATCCATGTAGAAAATGAAATTCATCAATCACAGAAGAAATTCATCAACCACCTTATTCGCTCTACCTCAGATAAGATACAGTAGGAAGGGGATCTCTTTTGTAAAGTCTCTATTGTGACTTTATACTGCCAGGAAACATATTCCATATTAGGTTCTCTGTACTGTAGCTATCATGGGTGGCACACAGAAACAGTATATGCTGTACTTTTCATATGTTTACAGAGTTACCATTATCTACATGCCAGCCACATAACACTGAACCTAGTAGTCTGTGCTTTATATAACTGACAAACATGGAACGGAGCCATAGTCTATCTAGGAACTTTATAATAGTTAGAAAAGTGTACCACACTTAAAAGGCCACACAATCCATTACTGACTAGCAATATTCACCGACCACCACCCCCACAGATCTGGAACAT